TAGGAAACATCAAAATGACTTTTCTTTTCAGGTACTCCAATGTGTCGTAGATGCCATGTTGACTACAAATTTACGGGACAGAGGTGCAACTCTTCAAAAACTAGATCAAAATCAAATATCCCCTTCCTTGGCAGCAACATTGCTGACAGCAACAAGACCTAAACAAAACAGGAATTACAGATTACTCTAAAAGTTAATTAAACGTTGAACAGAGACCTAGACAGTTTTTCCCATGTTGTCTTCTTTATGTGGTCCAGGAACTACACCATGACCCTCAGCCAGAGAGGAGAGATGCCCTATGCAGAGGTAAATTACATGGCCACCTCTATCATGTGATTTGAGGGTGACCACAGAGCTCTGCCTACCCCAGACTGTCTTACCCACTGGCCTGCTCTGCCACCAAATACTCACCATTATAGTCACTCTTTTCAATTAGCCAATGAAAGCAGTGACTGTTATGTGCTCCTTCTTCATTTCTACTTCTCAGAATTCTTATCTGTCTTCCATCCATCAGCAAAGTCACCGCCTCTTCTCTAATTACCTCAGGTATTAATGCTTTCTTCTCTTTTACTTCCCCTCACTTAACCTGGTATTTCCTCATCTGTATATATTATATTCCTTACCCCACCCCAATAGAATTTAAACTCCTTGGAGTCAGGGCTTGTTTTGTTTTTTATGTTTGTGTGCCCAGCACCAAGAACAGTGCCTTGCATGTAGTAGGTACTTAATAAATATTCCATTGTTATTTTTATTGTAGCTTTGCCTTTTTTTTCTCTTCGGCTTTCAATTGGGGGGCATCTTCCAGGACTATGTTTGTCCTGGAAGATGCCCCCTCAAAGACAGAATGATCTGAAATACAAGTGCCTACTCTGTTCAAGGCATTGTGATAGGGCTGGGGATACAGAGATTAAAATGGCATTTATATAGTACTTTAAGGTTTGCTAAGTGCCTTATATGTATTATTTCACTTGGTCCTCAGAAAAACTCTGGGAGGTAGTCTCCATTTTTACCGATGAGGAAGTGTAAGAGATCTGCCCAGAGTCACTCAGCTAACAAGTAACTGAGGCAGGATTTGACCTTGTCTCCCTACATTCAAAGAATCTACAGTCTAAAGGAGGTGGGGGCAATACTAAAACATGTACAACATGCCAGAACAAGGAATAAGATGTCAGCCTTATTTCCAGGGGCCCTGAGCAAAACAAACACTAAACCAATGTAACCATAGAACCATATTTCTCACTCCTCTCCTCTCATCCCACTCACATGATGGCAATTTTCTGTCTGCTTGTGGAGGAAATCTGGAGAGCCGGAAAATTTCTGACCTACTCTACCATCTTCCCAGAATGCTCCCCTCCAGGCCTCCTTTAAAGAAACTTCTCAGAAGCAATTCTTTCCAGTTGTTCCATAGCCATCCTTAGAATGACAGGGTTGAATGCTTCATTCATTCCAGTTGAATCATCTCCATTGGGATAATTCACCAAAGCAACCAAACATCTCAGTTCAGCATGAATTGCCACTATGTGCAAAACTCTTAGGAATGTACAAAGTAGAGCATGCTGGCCGTGATAGCTGCCGCTGACACTTCACTTTACAAACCAGATCCTCCCAACAGCCTTATCTAACAGAGCTGCTGTTGTTATCCTCATTTTACAGATGAGGAAACTGAAGTTCCAAGAAGTTGACCTGATGGTATGGAATTTGAACTCAGGTTCTCTCTGCTCCTCTGGCCACCATTCTACTTCAGTTCTCCATAATCTCTTGCCTAGATTATTACAAAAGCCTTCAAATTGGTCTCCCTACCTCAAGTCTGGGTCAGGTAGGTGGCGCAATGGATAGAGCACCGGGCTTGGAATCAGCAAGACTTATCTCCCTTAGTTCAAATCTGGCCACAGACATTTATTAGCTGTGTGACCCTGGGCAAGTCCCTTAACTCTGTTTGTCTCAGTTTCCTCATCTGTAAAAGGAGCTGGAGAAGGAAATGACAAAGCACTCCAATATCTTTGCCAAGAAAAGCCCAAATGGGATCAGAAAGAGTCCAACATGACTGAAATGATTGAACTGCAACAAAAAACCTGAAATCTGACTCTTCTCTAATTTAACCTCCAGACCGTATTGGCTTAGAAAACCACAAATTGACATTGTCTACATGGTATTTCAATCATTTTGCTAAACATGACCCAATTGCATTTTAATATTGTTCCCTCAGTGGGAGTCTGACATCTCTGTTCCACACAACTGCCTAATTATTATTCCTAAAGCATGGGTCTGACCATGTCACTCCCTTGCCTAAGAAATGTCATTACCTCATTCCCCCTAGAATAAAATGCCAGCCCCACTGTTTGTTATGTAAAGCCCTGTCTAGATCCAGTTCCTTTTTACAAACTTAATTTGCATTATTTGTCTTTATGCATCATACATTCTAGCCATACTTACTATTCCCCATACACAACATTCCATTTCCTGACTGCTCATCTGTTGTCCCCTGTGCCTAGAATGTTCTCTCTCCTCATTCCAGGCCTCTTGAAATTTCTAGTTCTAGCTCACATGCTGCCTCACACACAAGACCTTCCCTCATTCCCTAGTTGATAGTAATCTCTACCCCCCAAACTCCTTTGTATTTACTTTGAATTTTCTTATCTATGTGTCCCTGACCCTCAGTTGCTCCTACCTTTTGTCTTTGTATGCCCAGCTCCTACCAAAATAGTTGTTGTTGTTTGTCCTTCATTCTCGAAGAGGACCATGACATCAGGAAAATGATGCCATGACTTGCAAGTGAATTGGATTTAAGTGACGGAGGGCTGTGAAAACTCATCAGCCTCACTTTCTTTGGAGCCATCCAGGTCCAGTGGTGAGATATAGAGCAGGATGACTGGAAAGGACAGAGATAAAGACAGGGCCTAGAAAAATGATTTCATGATCACAGGGATATTAGATAAGGAAATTCCAACTTGTACAGGTTGACACTTTTCTGTGACTTGGAATATTCACTTCTTAGAACAGTATGTTAGAGGTAAGACCTGAAGCCAGGTCTTCCTTCCTCAGAGGCCAACTATCTGTATACCATACCAAACACTTGTTGAATGAGAATGAGGAAGGATTGCCATTCCATCTGCTAACTAATGAGGCCACTGATAACATCAAAGAGAGAGCTTTCATTATGTAATGGGGAGGGTGTTGAAGCAATAGAGACAGTAAATGTAAATTATTCCCTCAAAGGACTGCTCAATAAACAAGAGAAGTGAGAGATAGCAACTCAAGCATATGGCAAAACTGAGAGAAAGCAGGTTTTATCTTTAGGTGATATGTCTATAGGCAGGAGTGAAAGAACCAGTCCACAACCTGTATTACTCCTAGAACAAACCACAGATTATCTAGGATAGGCAGTAGGTCTTTTCCTGGAATCACAAGTTTCAAGAAGTTATTCAGGGTTGCCATCTCTCTTTCTAAGAAAAAAAAAAGCCCCCAAATCCTCAAAAAACCCAAAAATATCTCTAAAATAATTTCTTAAAACCTTACCACATGACATGCCAATCTCAGCACCAAGAAAAGCTGAAATAGCATCTGAGGGACCTGAAAGATATATAAGAATTTCCTTTTTAAGGGATCATCATCCCAGCAGGAAAGGAGGTGGGGAGATTCGCATGACTTATTCTACAGAAGATGAATCTAGACTTTCTGGAAGAGCAGGGTGCATGTGTCTCTGTGTGTTCACACCAGAGCTCTCCAGTGCCTCATCATATTCTGGTAGTGGCCCTGGGTTCTTGAAGGCTATGGGAGCACCTGACTTGGTAGGTCCTTCCAAATTCAAAGACTTTCAAGTACAGGCCTGCCAAATGTCTATCATCTAAGCAGCAGCCAAGCCAAGCGTAGAGGTACAGCTCGACACAAGGTTGGCCACAAAGTGATGAAGTTTTTCAGCTGCAGTAATTCACAAAGAGCACGTACTACAGCAAAGTGGGGTTGCAGTCTATGTTTGTGAAAGTGCACCAACAAATTGTAGATTCTTGGAGCTGAAGGAGAAGGAGGAAGGAAAAGAAGGAAGGAGAAAACAGAGGAAAACAAGAAGGACAAGGAAGGAGGATGAAAAGAGAAAAGTAGGAGAGGGAGAGAAGGAAGAGTGTGGGAAGAAAGGACAGGGAGGACAAGAGGGGAAGGAAATAGAGGAGGGAGAGGGGAATTTATGGTTTTCTAACACTTTAAAGTTTATAGAGCATTTCCCCCAGCCCCCCAAAATGTGTATGTACATATATGTGTGTACATATACATGTATGTATGTTATTATTCAAGCTTCGTTTTTGAAGAGGACTAATGATATCACAGGATGATGTTTGACTCATATGAAATGGATTTCAGTGAGGCAGAGCTGCACAAAGTCATCAGCCTCACTCTCTCTTCCTGAGTCTTCATAGTCCAGTGACAAGGCAAAAGTCAGGACGACTGGCAATGGCCCAGGATGCAGTGGATGACCTTGGCATCTTGGATTATCTGACCAAGCTCTAAGTGCTCCACAGTGCCTGCTTCAGCAGCCTTCACGGCCATCGGAACAAATTCCCTGTTCCACCAGAGGAAGTCTTGGAGTAGACAGTACGCTAACTCGCTGACAGGTTTGAGGCCTGTCAGTTACTCTGAACTCAATTTAGCCCATCTGCTGAGATGGTTTTACCAGGATAGGGCCACTGCATACTACAGCTTCTTGGAACCACAAGTGAGAGAGTTTGGGAGACAGGTGGACACCAAAGGTGGATTAGCAACCCTAAAAAGGACTCAGCAGGCACTCATACTAGGTGCGTGTCCTAGTATGGTAATATGCTTGTCCTAGCACCATAGGAGATACTAGTCTTCCTTGAGCACTCACATACTCCATGTATGTATGTGTGTTTGTATGTATGTGTGTATATACATATGTGTGTGTGTATATATATATGCAAATATATTACACACAAATGTACAAAGCTTATATTGGGGGAAGGTATACAAAGGTCAGTGTGGTGGCATACTTGTTCATTCTAGAAAATTCGTAATTTTTGTATTTTGACATTAAGGTTAAAATTGAACCTAAAGCAAGGAAGCATTAGCAGTTCCACAAGTTCACTCCTTCTCCTTTACTTGACCTTGTTACAAAATGTCTTTTTCACATTTTCTCCAGCCTTCAATTCCTTTCAGCAGTGAGCAGTTGTGAACTAGTCTGTGTACAATGATATGATGGTGGATTGAGCTTGTATATTTGGCGTTCAATTTGATTTAGTGCCTTTACCCAGCATTGTATAATTAACCATTATGACCTGTAAAACATGGGGAAATATCTGAGGAGAAAATAGGAGAATAGACATGATAGAGTACAGAGAAAATTGTGGTTATCCAGAAGTTGGCCCCTTTGTTTACATTTCAAAGTGCAGATTTGCTGGTTATTCTGCTTTTTCCCATCTTCTATTCTGGAAGACTTTGAAGAATGGCAAAGAGTGAGCCCAAGACTAATACTGCTTGAAATTTTATTTATTATATACAGAACTAGCAGGAGCTAAGTATTAAGAAGGAAAGATGTTAGTTTCACACAAATACCTTTCCTTAAAAAAAATCTTTGATGAGGGTGGGCAAGAAAGTAGAAAAATCAACGAATTGCAAATAGGCTCAGAAGTGAACGTGCTCTTTATATTTCTGGAAAGGAAGAGTCAACAAAAATCAGGTCACTTGCTCCTTTGGCACTTAACCTAGCCAAAGTAGAGCCTAGCCAAGGCCAAATCTGGCTCTAAATGTAACACCCTGTTAGAAGCACAGGGGCTTTTGGGTAAAATATTATTAAGCTATAGCATGGCATTTCTGCATCCCATTTTGGCTCGAGGGGTTTGTAGATTAATTTTCCTTCTGTACTCAGGCAACATCTTGCCATGGATATGAAAAATAATAGTAATAAGTTCAGCTGGTGTCATAGGACAAGTACAAAGATGCTCTTCCAGTAGACAATGGGCCTCTTTGCCATTAGAATTTCATCTCTCAGAACCCTTTCATTAAGGTGAAGACAAACTACATTTCCTGCCAGCAATGATCAGAGCAGATAGGTGACTTGTCTTTTGTCAGCTGCCTAATACTGGTATTCTTGGCAAATACTCAGAAATTTATAGGTCTGAAAGAAAGTCTTTTCCTGGCTATTTCTCTAGGGCCAGTTGTTTTTTTTTTTTTCAAAGTGCACTGATGATTAGGCAGATGTGAGGGGAAATTTAAAAGATAGAACATTATTGGTTATCAATGACCAAAGGATGCTGGAAGTTTTTAGTTTCCTAGGCAGTTAAGTAATTGATGAAAAGCAGGTGAGTTTACAGCTGTGAGGGCAATAGGGTGTCAGGGTAAGAAACTTCCCTTGAAGGAACAGGGAATTAAGTTTGGAGATGATAGTCATCCTTGATTCAAATCAGAACTTTCTTCAGTGTCTGAGTTAATTTTCACCTTCATTTCAGGGAGAAAAAGGCGGGAGTAGAAGCTGAGGTATATTACATCTGCTACTTTGTGTAGCTTAGCGTTATACATTCAAAAATCAGCCCGACCTTTACCACGGGCCTGCCTATTAACCGCGGTTTCACGGTAAGCTGTAGGTGCATTTAATTAAAAGCTATCATCTCTCCAATGTGTCTTTAGAAAGTACCGGGTGAGAAGATGAAAGTACAATCGCAGTTTGGGGCTCGGCAGGCCTTCACGTGAAAAACACGCAGGTGCCCAATAGATGTGTTTTTTCTAGTAAAGAACTTGCTTCGTTGCTGTTTCCTCTTCAGGGAACATAAGTCTCTTCCACATGAGTTTTCAGGATTTATCTTCCTAACAGCAGCAGCAGCAGCTGTATGGAAATTGGGCCCCAGAACTGGCCCTTGAGTGACACAGGCTCCTGGGGATTTCTTGATTAGCAAGGTTTCCTCCTAGTTGTTTTAGTCTATGCTTTAGTGTTTCTAGTTTGTCACCAGTTCTTACTCTCCACTCTCCCTCCAAAAGCCACCTCTAGGGTATTCTTGCTAGATAACACATTGTATAATTTGTGTGAAATATTCCTGAGACAGAAATAAATACATCTTTAGCTTCTCTTCCTGGCCTTGTCTCCTTTTACACACTGAATCATGAGGATCATGGATTTTCAATTGGCCGTAGAAACAGCAGGCCTCTCTCCAGACAGATGTGGACATATTTCAAAGAAGTCCCCCTTCCTAGTCAATTCAATAAACACTTGCTAAGCTCCTATTATGTGCAAGGCACTGGGCTAGGGTAGCATTCAAACCTGCTTTTTCTCTGAGGCCTGCTTCTTGACAGAAACCTGGCCCAGAGCACCAAGAGAGGGCTGAAGAGGAAGGGGCCTGTGACTTCAGAAGCATGACCCTGAACTGGGTTGGACACGGTACCTAGGCTCATATGATCATAGATTTAGAACTGGAAGTTGAGGGAGCTGAGGCCCAGAAGAGTTAAGCGCTTTGCCTAAGGTCATAGAGATACTAAATGACAAAGTCAGGGCTTCTATCTCCAGATCCAAGTACCTCTTCTTTGCATCACACATCCTCCCTAGATAAAAACTTTTCAGTGTAGTTCAGGTGTTCTTAATTGTCCCTTGGGCATGAAGCCTAGTGACCCCTTCTCAGAATAATGTCTTTAAATCATTATAGAAAATGGTGTATATTTCAGTCAGAGGTTGGTGAAAATAAAGATGTAGGTCTTTTCAGGAAATCTATTCATGAATTCCCTTGGGACCCCCAGGTGTAGGGATTATCTCGCAAATATAAGGCCAAATCTTTGGGACATTGGCCCATTTGGGAAATCCTTGTGTTTGGTATATGGCAAGTAAGGGAGACTGATCTACAAAGAACACAGGATGCCATTGTAAGAAAAATAAATCTGGACCCTAGAACTCCCCAATTCCAAATACCACTACCACCACTGGCCCCCAAGTGATAAAGGGACTGGCAATTGGCAAACATATACAGCCTGGATATATGCCTTTCCTTTGAAATCAGTCAAATTTTCCCGGGTCAGAATCAAGAGTTGAGGGAAAATCTTTATCATCTTTACAAACAGGTCTGACCTAGCAGTACTAGAAAGATGAATTCCACTCAGCCTTCTGCTAATGGCAACATGCTAAGAATAGGTATGGCTTTGCCACTAACTCGGGACAATGGTGAATAGCAGAACCAGTTCCTATAGAGATAATAAGTAATCTGTCAGTATCGTGTAGCTCTCTGATCTGCATATAGGGTGGTCAAAGGGAGTAGAAATCCAGGGCCATTTTGCAATGTGGAATCCTATTGGGTTTTCTTCAAGAGACTGACTGATTCCTGCCAAGATTAAAATATGAGCTCCTTGGGAACTTCCCAGGGAAATTCATTTCTTCCAAAATGGCCATAGCATGCTGTCTTCTGATAAATTGGCTTCTTCAAATCAAGGTCCCTAAGAGTTCAGCAAAAGGAAAGAAAATGTTGTTACTCCAGAATTTTATTCTATGGATCACATGCATTGTAAACACAAGAGAACTAAGTAGGGAATACTCTCATTCTATATATTGGTTGGGGAAAGTAATGACTGCCTCACAGAGTGGTTATGGGGATCAGATGAGTTAACATAGGGAAAGCAAACTCTAAAACACTATAAAAATATGTTATCATTATTATTACTATTATTATATAAAGTTTGAGGTTTGGGGTGTCATGAAAACTCTTTGTTAGAGGACTTAGGTATGCTACTGCAATGAAAAAGTTGTTGATATTATTATTCCCTATGTGATGCTCTGACATCTTTTATGGCCACATCACCCCCTGCTCAAGAATTTTCAATGGTTCCCTATCACTTCTAGAAAAAGTGACAAGCTTCCTCAGCTGGTAAAAGTCTTTCACAACGTGAATCCAGCCTACTTTGCTAGGCTGACTACACATTAATTCCATCCACACACACTTGGGGGCTTCTTGACATTTGCCATGTGAGGACACAGGGACATGCCTGGCACTAGATGTTCCCTCTTGCCCAGAATGCCCTCCCTACTCAGCTCTCCCTCTTAGAGTCCCTAGATTCCTTCATGGCCTTTCCATTTTCCTTCTTCCTCCAAAGAATCATAATTCCAGAAGGAAGAAAATCATCTGCCTTATTTCCTCTTTAGTAAATGAGGAGTGTAGGGGGACGATAAAGGTAGACTGGAAAGGGGGAAATGACTATTGCTTCTTTAAAAATATGTGTATAGGGGCAGCTAGGTGGTGCAATGGATAGAGCTCTGGACTTGGAGTCAGGAGGACCTGAGTTCAAATCCAATCTCAGACACTTGACACTAGCTATGTGACTGTGGGCGAGTCACAACTCCGATTGCCTTACCAAGAAAAAAAAAAAAGTAAGTGTGTGTGTGTGTGTGTGCCCACTCATGGGAACTTTGAAGCTATCAGACCATTACCTGACAATGACTCCAGGACGAAGATCAAAATTCTTATTCACCACTTGTAACAGCTCTTTCTCTGTCTTTTGGGAGGTCCCATAGGTGAACAGGGAAATTGAGAGAGGCTCAGCCACACCAATTGCATAAGAAACCTTCATAAGGAGATGAGGCACAAGAGACATATCAGCTAGGAGTCTCTACCATCCCCAAAGCCACAGTTAGCAGTTCTGGCAGCTAAGGTAAGCACCATGAAAGATGCCCTTAAATATTTTTTTTTTAAAAAAACAAATTCAGTTGAAGTTAAGGTGGAAGAGACATGTCATAGATATGCCTCAGACCACAGGGAAACAGACTCTAAGCAACTGCTCATATGGGCAGAAATAGGCTTTTGCAAGGGAGACCAGGATAAGGAAGTGAGCCATCATTCAGCTTCCTATTTTAACTAGTGATACTAAATAGGTGCCAATTTCAGTTGTTTTTTTCTGATAGCATGTAAGTTCTATAAGAACCTCTAAATTCTGACACCCTGAGACAAATCACCTATTGTCCCACTCTAGTTTTACCTCTTCCCATTCCTCATCATTCCTCATCATAATCCAAGTCTTTATAAAATCAAGAAATCTAAGCCATCTATCACACTACCTTGAGGCTAACCACTCTACCACAAATTCTGCTGGATTTGAGATCCTTAAGGCTGAAATAAGGTCTTTTTTCAGTCTTCTCCCTTCTTCCTAAGGGCAATATATAAGGGGGAAAGACAGCATGGGTTGAGATGGAACTCTACAGATGAAAGACTGACTGACGGAAAATAACCTTAGCCTTTAGCATCCCAGAAATCACAGATTTTAATCAGGAACTGGCCCTTGAAATAGAAAAGGTATTTGGAGGGAGAGGGCGGAGAGGAAGGAGAAAAGTGCCCACGTACTTGCACCAGAACTCTCCGACACAGTTTGGCTTTCACTAGTGACTTTGCCACCCAACGAGCTGCATAGGCTGCAGAGCGGTCCACCTTGGTATAGTCCTTCCCGGAGAAGGCACCTCCCCCATGTGCCCCCCAGCCTCCATAAGTGTCCACAATGATCTTCCGGCCAGTGACTCCTGCATCCCCCTGAAGGAAGGCAAGAATAAGGGTCATATGAGCAGTTTCAGATCGAGAAATAACCACTATGTGCCAGGCAGAGTGCTAAGCTCCAAGGATACAAAAAGAAGCAAAAGATGGTCAGTCCCTGCCCTCAAGGGGCTCTCAAGAATACTTTGGGCACAGTTCCATTTTCCTGCACTGTGGCCACCACTGATAGGTCAGAACTCAGGAGAGCAAGCGCTTCTGTTGACTTTAGTAAAGTCACATCTCCCCTTTGGACCTCAGTTTCCTCATCTGTAAAGTGAAAGGTTGGGGTGGGGGGAAGGGAGCAGGAGAAGACCAGATGATAGCTAATGAAATAATTCTCAAGGAGAAAACCAGACCTAGAAAGAAACTGTTAGTGTCTAGAATTCTCCACTAGATGGTGATATTGGGTCAGTGGTGTTAAGCACGACTCTCCAGACGTCCCTACTCATTGCACTGGCTTCTAATCGGGCCTCCTAAGCAGGGTTAACACCAGCCACACAAGTATGCAGACAGGAGCTAATTGATGTGATACAAATCAAAGTGACACCAGGCAAAGCGACCTGCTCCAGGACACCAGTGCTATTAATTGCTGTTTACCTTTTTACCGTCATTCTTTTCTCTGAATCTTTAAGACTCTTGCAAATAATGTGGAGGTATGAGCAGGTACCTCTGCTTAAAACTGAATCAGCTAATATTCTAGTTTCCAGTTAACCTCTTAGCAAGAACAATGAGAAATGAGACACGGGATCTTCTGCCTAGGATAGAATGGTGCAAGAATAATATATATTACAGTAATGATGAGGCAGCTAACTAGACAGGGCAGTAGACTTGGAGTCAGGAACACCAGATTTCAATTCCTTCCTCAAATACTTATTAACTAGGGGCAGCTAGGTGGCGCAGTGGGTAGAGCACTGGCCCTGAAGTCAGGAGGACCTGAGTTCAAATCTGACCACAGACCCAACACTTGACACTAACTAGCTGTGTGACCTTGGGCAAGTCACTTAACCCCAACTGCCTAAAAGCAAAAAAAAAAAATACTTATTAACTGTGTGCCCCCAGGCAAGTCACTTAACTTCTCTATGGCCTCAGTTTCCCCATGTGTAAAATGGGAATAATAATAATAGCACCTAACTTATAGTGTTGTTGTAAAGATTAAATGAGATAACATACATAAAGCATATTTGTAAAATATGAATACTTGAATAAATTTTGCATATTTACTGCATATTTGCATGGGGAGGAGGGGGGAAGAGGAAGAAAGGAGGGGAAAAAGCAATTATATGGCACCTACTACGTGCCAGGCACTGTATTAAGCCCTTTACAAATATTATCTCACTTCACCCTCACAAAAACCTGTCAGGTCGGTATTGTTATTATCCCCATTTTACAGGTAAGGAAACTAGGTAAACAAAGGTTAAGTGACTTGCCCAAGGTCACACAATTAGTAAGTATCTAAGGCAGGAATTTAAATCAAGGCTTCCTGACTCTAGCCCCTGAGAAGGGAAATGTCACTGATGTATCATAACCCTGTGTGGGACGGAAAATAGAAAATCATCTGAGGAGAACAGGAAAAGGGCAGTCCACTCTCTCACAATAAGCCCCTCATGATAAGCAGCTGTATGGGCAGGCCAGGAGCTCATCCAGCAATGAATATATCTAGGACAAACAGGGGATTTGGACAATGGACCAGGCTTAGAGTGGAATAGGAGGAAGAGAACTGATTTGCATGTGGAAAGCTGGGCAGCAGTCCACCCTGAAACAAAGGCCCAGACCAACATTCTCCCAGTGGAACTCGGCTTGGCCTCTGCTGCTTTGCCTCGTCTCAGCTCCACAGAACAAGATGGCCCTCCCAGGATAAGTTCATTGTTTCTAAACTCATCACCTTGCTGCTAACTCAAGACTTGATTGACTGATAACTCCTCCCAATGTCTTCCTTTACAGAGGATCGAAACTGGATTCTCAGCTCCCTCCACTTTGCATCTGCTGCTCTGCCTGGTTTCCTGTCAAAGGAACAAGATGCCTCCTGCTGTATTTGACCCCTCGCCCCTTTTCTGCCTCCTTTTGTGTATTGTCTCCCACTTCAGATTATAAACTCCATGAAGGCAGGGAATATCTTTTTATTGCTGTAACCTCAGTGCTTAGCACAGTGACTGGCACATACTTAACAAATGTTTATTTGATTGAATTGGATAAAATTACATGATTTTGAGTCACAGAATACCATAGTCTCTGAAAAACTAAAGTTACCTCAAGGTAGAAATGCATGGTGATTATAAATATGTTGAGTATTTTGCCAGCAAAGAATAGCTCTTTGGGACAGACATGAAAGAAAACAAGTATACCATTTCTCATCCTGGGTAACTGTAAATCCTCCACAATCTACCTGGTATTCTGGGGGCACCTGTCTCTGAATATCTTGAGATTGCCTGGGTTAGTACTGGGCTGCTCACCTGTTATCCCTCACTCACTCTAAGTTACTGACATATAATAATAGTTCAAGGGGCAGCTAAAGGGGCCTAGCGGATAGAGTCCTGGTCCTGGAGTCAAGAAGACCTGAATTCTAATCTAGCCTCAGACACTTAGTAGCTGTGTGAACCTGGAGAAGACTCAGCCTCTCTGTACCTCAGTTTCCTTGTCTGTAAAATGGGGAAAATAATAGCACCCACCTCCCAGTGTTGTTGTAAAGATCAAATGAGATATTTGTAAAGTACTTTGCAAATCTTAAAGCTCTATATAAATGTTAGCTGTTATTATTATTATTATTATTATTATTATTATTATATTCATATAGCTCTTTAATATTTAACAAAGTATTTTGGAAGGAAAGTAGAATATCTCTTTTTTTCAGTAGATGAGAAACTAAAACTTAGAGGGATGAAACAATTTAATCACATATCCATAAACAAAGGAGCCAGGATATTGAAAGAACTGGGAATGTTTTGGCTTGGAGAAGATAAGTGAGGGGACATGATAGCTTCCTTCAAGGATCTGAAGGTTTGTTATGTAGAAGAAGTCTTAGACTTGTTCCTGAGATTGCAGAAAGTAGAGATAAAGATAAATTCCCAACTTTAGCTAGGACCAGACCTCACAGTGCCACCTCAAATCAACTCTGGACATGCATATGGGCGTGGAGCTAAAAAATGCCAACCATAATGAAGCATGCTACCTACCTCCTAACAGAGAAGTGGCTGACAAGGTGCAGATTGAGACATATTTTTTTAATATAGCCAATGCAGAAATTTATTTTTCTTGACGATGCATATTTGTTTCAAAAAGAGAAAGGTTGTTTTCCTCTTTTTTTTTTCAACAAAGGGTGAATATGAGAGAGAGAGGGTGAATAGATTTTCATTCATGGAAAACAGATGATAATAATAAAAGGTCTAAGTTTTACAAAGCATTTAAAGAGCACCTCTTTTAATGATAGATATGTAGACAGACAGATGGACTGACAGATAGATAGATAGATAGATAGATAGATAGATAGATAGATAGATAGATAGATAGATAGATAGATAGATAGATAGATAGATAGATAGATAGATGATAGAGAGATAGACAGAAAGACACAGACAGATAGAGAGATAGATAGATAGATAGATAGATAGATAGATAGATAGATAGATAGATAGATAGATGATAGAGAGATAGACAGAAAGACACAGACAGACAGATGGATAGATAGATAGGTAGATGATAGAGAGATAGAGAGGTAGATAGATAGATGATAGAGAGATAGGTAGATAGAACAAATGTTCAACCTATGGTATGGAATAGAATCAACAAGGCAAATGACTGCTTGATTTGGATGCTAGCTTGTAAAGATAAATAAGGCACCTGTGGCCCGCCAATTACAAAACGCCCACTGGGCTGCAGGTGGTAGATTGTCTTTTCATCCAGATACTTTGAAGGCACCACGGCTCGGATCACTTGGTCCTTTAAAGCCTGGCGCATGTCCTCCAGTGTGATGTCCTCATTGTGCTGCACGGAGATCACAATGGTGTGAACGCGCACTGGAATGACAGCCCCATTGTCCTGGGTGTACTGGACAGTGACCTGCATGGAGAAAGAACAAGGTGATTATCATCTGTGTTCCTTCCATGTTGTAAACAGAGGACCAGGCTTTATATTGATGTTTTATGGGTGAGAGATTATAAAGGTTAAGTACACAAGATCCTATTCTCTCATGTCTCATTACAGCAGGAAGGTAACCCAGCATTCTCAAAGGCTGTACAAGAAAAGGACAGGCTCTGTCAGGTCCCACCAAATTAGAAGAAAAAAAAACAGAGGACCCATCCCACATTTCTGTCGTCCAAGAGTCAGCCTGGCTAAATTTAAAATACTATCACTGCTACCAATAATAATAACATTGTTTGCATTTATATAGTACTTTAAGGTTTACAAGGCACTTTACAAATGCTACTATTTTATCCACAAAACAATCCTGGAGGTAAGAGCTCTTATTATCCCCATTTTACAGATGAAGAATTTGAGGCAAGCAGGAAGTGAAATGATTTGCCTAGGGTCACACAGCTAGTAAGCAGAAGGATGACCCCAAAGTGTTGGATGTTCTGTCCACAGCAAGTCACAAGAGTCTACTGATTCACTGAGATATAGATGAGTTCTAATCTGTATCATTGAAAGAAGTGACCACTCTAAATAAATTCTATTTAATTCAACAAGCATTTAGCTAGCACTCACTAAATATAAGGCTCTGTGAGACTCTTTATATAATGAAGCAGCACATATAAGGACAGAATTTAATGGTACAATAAAATAACAGACAAATACATTTGATAAATATTTAATGACAAATAATTGCTGTGGAGTTATGTGCAATTAGCCGTAAATGGCAAGTAATTCACATATAAATGACTTGAATTATTGTTATTATTAACTTGTCATTGTTCAGTCATTTCAGTTGTGTCTGACTCTTGGCAACCTCATCTGGCATTTTCTTGGCACAAATACTAGAATGGTTTGCCATTTCCTTCCCCAGCTTATTTTATAGATGAGGAAACTGAAGCAAAGAAGGTTAAGTGACTTGCTCAGGGTCACACAGCTAGTAAGTGTCTGAGGTCAGACTTGAACTCAGGAAGGTGAGTTCCTAACTCCAGGCCCAGAACTTTTTCCATCTATTTACCCAACTGATCCCTATTATTATTATTATTATTATTATTATTATTATTATTAAACCAGGTAGGTTTTTTTTCCTCCTGTTCTGTTAGGCCTCCAGTGACATTCCTTTCAGTCTAAGGGCTTTTTGCTGTTGTGTCCCAAGTAAGTTGGAAAATTGCATTTATTAGGTTAAATACTAGCCTCAACTCTCTAATACCTGAAGTACCCCACATACACTTCATAGCCAAGGACTGAGGCTCCCTCTGCCATACCTATATTCAGCCATCTTAACTGAGAATATCTTCAACAGAATGTTTAGCTGTTTCCTAATACTCAAGTCCAAACATTCTGGATTTACCAAGCACTCTGGGTCATGCCCAACAAGTGGGCATCACTATGTAGCAGTTATGAATTGGTGGAAATCTGGGTTAGTCAAGGTGAAGGGGCAAAGGCACAAGAAAAAATGGATTTTGAATCTCCATCATCTGAGCATCTTGGTTACAGAAGAAGAGGGAGACAAAGTCTAAGACTGTCTGGTGGGTAAGGATCTGGAGGAAGGGGACCTCTTGGTAGACTGGTATAGGGTGTGAGAAAAAACCTCTGTTATAGAATATGCATATTCCACACTAGCAGCTCCAAGGCATAGACCTTCATCAGCTGTAGTAATAAACATATCTTCCCTCAGGGATCAGGCAGTGGCATGGATTCAGGGAGAACGCCACCCTTTAATCACCATGTTTATGTACATGTCATGTTTACGATCAGGGTCAATTTTTCATCAAAGCATAGTATTATTTCAGAAGTCTCCATTACCAAAAAGGAAGTCTCTCCCATCTACTGCTAATGCCTACACTTAAATTGGAGACATTCAACACTTAGCCTCCATGCCACCCGTTTCATCTATAGAGGTATCCATGCAAACAACTTATTGGAAAAGGGATTTATAGCACATAGTCTGCCCAGGGCATCTAAAATGTCAACCAATCAAAAAGTAAGTATGAGCACTCAGTATGGGTTCAGTCCCATACTAGATGTTGGAAAGGAAACAAAGTGACAAAAAGTGACAAAAAATGACCCCTGCCCTCAAAAAGCTGGAGAGGCAAGATATATGTGCCTGAAACAACAGGATACAATTAAATGCTAAATGGTGCCATACTGATTTTAAGGACTAGAACAGTTCTTATGGAAAGGAGATCTAGAAGGGCTAGACTGGCCACGGGGGCTTCCTGGAGGAGGTGGTACCAGATCTGAGTCAAGAATGGAAGAAGTTGACTTCAATGAAGACTTCCTAACTCATAATGAAAATATGACTAAAAAGTTTCCCACATGTTCCCAGATGCTTCCCCACCCAATGCAACCCTACCCCCAATATTGGCCCATTTAGAATTATGAATGCATTGAAAGAGTGCTAGATTTAGAGGCAGAGGACCTGGATTGGAAAGCTGGCCTGGCAACTTGCTACTTGTGTGACTTTGGGGGAGTCCCTTTCAGCACTCTGGGCTTGTTTCCTTGTCTGTAAAATAAGGAGGCTGGATTGCACGACCTCCAAGGTATTTCAGTATGTGATTACATGATCTCTTGAATTCCTGCATGCCACGAGCATGATCCTCAAATTCTAGGGCTTAGAAAAGGAGTTCAAGAAGTTTGTGTTTCAGCCTTTAGTCAGAATCATGCTTAAAACTCACAATGTCTGAGTAGACTTGATACAAAGAAGATTGGTTCTAAAGTCAGAGGACCTGGGTTCAAATCCTGTTTCTGATGCTTACTAGCTGTGTGACCTTGGGCAAGTGACTTCACTCCTCTGGGACTCAATTAACCTCCTCTAAAATGAGGGGATTGGACCAAATACTACCTGAAGTCCCTTCCAGGCATGTCTTTTACAGTCTCAGGATTCTCTCAAACCCTTATTTTGTGGCCATTTCGTAGACAGATAAAGAAATGTGGCTACTAGATTTAAACCACAAGAAACGTAGTCTGGAAAAATCAGAGTACTGCAAAAAAAAAATCTACTTCTCTCTGATCATAAAAGAAATAGCCTAGTTGCACTGCTACAACCCAGAGCCCAGTGGATCTTCGTGGTAGACCCTGAAGTAGGTAAGGATAGGAGGGAAGAGGGAGACAAGGATAATTAATATCTATCATTATAAAGAATAATACAAATGCTATACTAGCCAGGTGAAAAAAAAACCATACATACTCTTAGTCATAGAGCAGCTAGGTGGGCAGTGGATAGAGCGCTGGGCTTGGAATCAGGAAGACTCCTCTTGCTGAGCTCAAATCCAGCCTTAGACACTTACTAGCTGTGTGACCCTGGACAAGTCACTTAACCCTGTTTGCCTCAGTTTCCTCATCTGTAAAATGAGCTGGAGAAGGAAGTGGCAAACCACTCCAGGATCTTTGCCAAGGAAATCCCAAATGGGCTTACAAAGAGTCAGACGTGACTGAAACAATTAAACAACAACGCTCTTCATCATAACTACTGCCATCTGATCATCAATAATAAGTAGCACAATGCTGTTCACAAAGGGCTTATCATAGGATCACAGGTCTGGAGCTGGAAGGGACCACAGAGACCATCCAGGCATTTTACAGATTAGGAAACTGAGGCCCAGGGAACTTAAGAGACTGACCCAAGGTCACACAGATAGTAGGTGTTGTTTTGAACCTTGGATCTTGGTTTTTTGTTTTGTTTTGGGTTTTTTTTGCTTTGCTTTTTGGTGAGGCAATACAGGTTAAGTGACTTGCCCAGGGTCACACAGCTAGTAAGTGGCAAGTGGCTGAGGCTGGATTTGAATGCAGGTCCTCCTCACTCCAAGTCCAGAGCACTATCCATTGTACCGCCTAGCTGCCCCAGAACCGTGTCTTCTTGACTTAAGACCTGCACTACCAAAAAAACTCTTGATTGAAAATGGAAACTCTTTGGGAATGGACCAAAGAAAGAGAGCTCAGAGAGTTACCTGGAATATTAGTACAGAAGCTCCCACTGTCAAATGTCTGATCTCTAGATGGAGAAAAGCTTGGGACAAACATAAATGCCCTTTCAGGAATCTTTGGAACAACCTATGCCGGTACGAATATTGAATAATCCAGTCGTGTTGCAACTGACTAAGAAAGCAAGGAAGTCTTGCATGACTTAGCCAAAAGAATGTGTATGCGGATCCTTCATGTCCTCAGGGAGCTGTAAATCCAGAAGGAGCTTGGCCTTGGATCAATGTTTGCCCTGTCTCTCCTTCCCAGATCCAGGAGCATCCCATTTCTCAGCACAGGAGCAAAGGAAGTAATCTGCTTTCTTACCAAGTAAAATGGATAATCTCCTCCCATTAAACACACTGTATATATTTCATTTCCCATCGATCACCCGAGAAAAACAAAAACTCGCGTGGTTCATCTTATCCTTCTCTGTGAATCCATTTTATTTTAATGTCTCTACATACAGGTAAGATCAGACAACATCTTTGTTGATTTTACTTGGCATGATAAAAAAAAAATTTTGAATGTCTTATCCCAATCTCTACCCACATGTTATATTCCCAAAGGGAAGGCTCTTGAGAATGGCCTTTATTTAAAAAAATCCCCTCTGCTGATGCAATCTCCAGCTGAAATTTTGTGCATAAGACTAAAGAAACCAGAAGACAGCATTTTACCTGTTTGGTTTGGTTTGGTTTGGTTTGGTTTTTAGGCAGCATGTACACTGATGTCCATTGTACCAATGAATTAAAAAGTTCACATTCAAAACTCTGCCCAGAGGCGAGGTGGCTAAGCTCCTGCTGCTGGGCCATAAAATCAAATCCAAAATGTTTATTGAGTGGTGCAATATGCAAAACTCTGGGCCAAGTGCTATAGATGATAAAAAGAAATTTAAAATGATCCTTGCCCTCAAAAAGCTTTCAATCTAGTTGGTGCATTTTTTAAATTGTATATAAAGCTACCTAAATTGGAAAGCAGCACATGGATAAGTCATTTGCATGACAAAGACTTAGCAGTAGCAGATCAAAGGAGGCAAAGGTTACCCTGGAATGGTCAGGTCAGAGAAGGCTCCATCAAGAAAAGAGGACTTAAACTCCAAAGGATGGGTGAGAATTGGGAAGGTGTTTCAGGAAGGGAGAATGGCTTGAACAAAAAGCGTGTTCAGGAGATAGGGTGGGGAGGGATCATGTGGAAGAGTAGATCATCATATTTGGAAGGTGGATTAGGATTCATTGCCTAAGAACTTGATTGTCTTACTAAATTATATGGACTTTATTTAATGGGAAAGAGGGAACCGCTAGCAATTTTTGAGCAGAGATATGAAACTACAAAAATCATACTTAAAGGAATCTAATCTGGTGGCTGGGTGCAGAATGGATTGATGGAATCATAGGATCATAGACTTAAAACTAGAAGTGACTTTAGAGACCAGCAAGTCCAACTCCCCATTTCACAGATGAGGAAAGTGAGACAGAGATGGTTTAAGTGACTTGCCCAGGGTCACACAGCTAGTAAGTGGCTGAGGCAGGATTCAAGCTCAGGTCTTTCTCATTGTACCACCTAGCTGCCTGGCAGAAGGTAAGATCAATTCTAGGAAGACTAGTTGTATTGAGTTGTATTGATATGAGTCAGATGGTAAAGGTTGAGATCTTAATAATGGCAACAGAAAAACAAAGATAGGGAAGAATTTGAGACTCATTTCAAGGGAAAATTGCCCATTTTAATGACTAACAATATCAGGAGGAAGAAGAAAATGATATCCAAGATGACTCCAAAATTTTGAATGTAACCAAAAAAAAATACAGAGATTAGCTATCGTTCTGAAGGAAGAAAGAAAACCAAAGAAGGAGAAAGAAAGAGTGGTCAGAGAATAGAAAATGATAGAATAGTGTCATGGAGGCCAAAGAAAGAAAGTTCTAAGAAAGAAGTGGTCAATAGTGTCTCATACAGAAAAATCAAGGAGAATAAGGACGGAAAAAACTGGAATTAGTGATTAAGAAGTCTCTGGCACCAACATCTTAGGACAAGGGAGCAACAATGATTCCTCAATCAGTCATCTTAAGCACTAAGGTCCTCTACCAATGTTGGCCCATGAGACACTGTTGGGATTCCTTCCCACTACCGTACTCCCAATTACTTCCTTGCCTCCAATCTCCTTTGGAGGTGTCCAGTGCCATTATTACAGCAGCGAGCCACTCCTGTCCTAGTATCCACCTTCTACCATGAGGACCCCTCAATGAAGGATCCCTAACCCTCCCCGAAGCTCATCCTGGGAGTTGCCCAATGCAACCACACCCACATAGAGGCAGACTGGCTTCTGCCCATATCTCCATACTGCCTGTCCCCCACTCATCTGTAAAATGAGGATCCTACCCTTCACTTAAAGCTCACCTCTCCCTACTCCATCCTCCTCCCCCTAGTGATTGCCTAGTTTGGCAGCAAGGTGGTATGGTGAATATTACTCAGGATTTTGTATCAGTTAGACCTAAATTCAGACCTTCTCTCAGAAACTTACTAGCTCTGTGACCCTGAGCACATCACTTAACCTCCCTCAGCCTCATCTATAAAATAGGCATAATAATAGTAACTACTTTCAGGGTTGTGGTGAGGATCAGGTAAAGTAATATAGGTAAAGTGCTTTGAAGATTCTACATAAACACTTGCTAGCTAGCTAGCTAGTAGTAGTAGTAGTAGTAGTAGTAGTAGTAGTAGTAGTAGTAGTAGTAGTAGTAGTAGAACTGACCATCATTGAAGATCCTCTGGACTTACTATTCTACTGCCCTTTCTCTTCATTCTCATCCAGGTTAGGATGGCCTGGTACAACTCTATCATAAGGGCTCTGATACCTCATTTACCACCGCCACCCCAACTCAGGAGTGCAAAAAAGACTGCCCCCAATCTACTGGGGCCAGCTTTCTTCTGTTCTTTATATACTGAAATGCTTGTGTTTGGGGATAATTGTTCATTTCATAATGAAAAGAAATTAAAAATTGATCTTTGTGTCTCTGAGTATATGATTTTGACCTGTCAAGGGACAAAATTTAAGAAGAGTTTGAGGTTGTTGAAATTTTTGTTCAGTGGCCCTCTATAGAGAACCAAAGGAAGACTTACCTGAGTTTTAGAGTCAGGTCTAAGCCAGGGGAGAACCCCCATGCGCCTCAGCTCTGCCATCCGGGCATTGAGCTTATGAGCAAGTATAATGGTGAGAGGCATACATTCTTCTGTCTCATCTGTGGCATAGCCAAACATCAAACCCTACATGAAGAAGGAAAGAAGAAAGGGAGAGGAGAAAAAACAGTTTGGTGCCCCAACTATGTTGCTATGCCCTAGGGTTCATTGGCTCTTAAATTTCTATGACTCCTTACTTCAGCTGCTAACTCCTCTCAGGCTCCTTAACAAGTCCTGCCAAAATATTCCCATTCTCAAGGTAAGTGACAAAGAAGGGCATACTCTCAGGGATGCATTAAGTTCATTTAAATGTAAAGTGTGAGTTGAAAAAGATGGATGAAAAAATATTTATTGTCTTAACAGACAATGTGCTTATTAAAAAGGGGGTCAGTCATTTCAAAAACAGGAGTCCATTCAGTATTTAAATTTAGAGTCTTTGTAAACACACAAGTGTAGATAAAGGCAAAAAAAAATTCATGCTTCAACATTTGAACTCCTTGAACTTGTAATTTCACTCTCAAAGCTGACCTCTGCAGATTCTGAAATTCCATTAGACTTGAGAAATGCTCATTTTGTTTTCTAATAAAATTACAGAAGGATTTTTTATTTTGGACATCAGTATTCATTATCTATGAGTAGAATGAGAAATTGACCAACTTGAAACATGGTAAATAGACATGGATTAGTAATGAGCCCTGTTGAACATCCTTATACTTGGAAGCTACTCAATTGCATTCAATTTCAGTTTAAACTCTCCAAGTCAGACTCATTACCAGTTGGGAAGCAGTTTTATCTACAGTATTTTTCTGTGACATTACGGTCTCCATCTCTTCTCATTTATGCTTTTAGAACTAAATATATTATATAGCAAACATCCAGATTTCAGTCCAAAAGAAGAATGTGCATAGACTGATTTTTTTTCTTCATCATTATTTTTTAAATAGATATTCACACATCTATCACTCCTCTTTTTCACAGCCAAACTCCAAGAAAGAAAATCTTTGTATTCTCATTACCTCCACTTTCTCATCTCCCAATCACCTCTCAACCCTTTGTAATCTGGTTTGTGATCCCACCATTTCATCAAAACTGCTCTAAAAGGTCACCAAAGATCATTTATTGACTGTATCTAGTTTCTTTTTCTCAATTCTCAGGCTTCTTGTGTTCTCTGCAATGTCTGGTACTGCTGACCATGTCTTTTAAAGAATCTCTCCTTCCTGGATCTTCCTAGCATTGATTTCTTCTGGTTCTTCTCCTACCAGCCTGAACATTCCATCTCAGTCTCCCAGTGGTTCCCACAATTACAGATAAGGCAAATGGTGTTCTTAGACCTGTATTAAACATCAATTACCACAATCCACAGTTTAGTTTTCCTCATGGTAAGTCTGAAGATTTATCATAGAAACTATGTCAAACACATAAGAGTTTTCGATTTGATCTAAGTTATGATTCAGAATGATTTACTTTTAGACTACAAGGTTTCCTCTAAATTAAACCTCATTGTTCAGCTACTCTCCCAAAATAAATGACCAGGTGGGGAAACTCCCTCTGCCAATGCTGGTTGAAAACTTCTCTTCAACTTAGAGTCTTAGAGAATTATTTATAGTTTGGAGAAATTAAGTGACTTGCCCAGGGTTACATAGGCAGGACTATCCAGGTCTTCCTGCAAGTTGACCTTTCTATCCACAGTGCCATACTAATTCTCACAATAACAAAAGCTTACAATTATGTAGTGATTTAAAGTTGGGAAAGCATTTTATGCATTTTGCCTCACTTGAACCTCACAACAGCCCTATAAGATATGTGCTATTATTATCCCATTTTACAGAGGAGGAAACTAAATCTCAGAGAGGCTAAATGACTTTGCCATTATCATTCAGCTAGTAAATATCTAAGGCAGGATTCAAATTTAGGCCTCCTTTGACTCCAACATGTATCCTATTACACCACACTGCCTTCTCTATAGAGATCACATATATCATATGAGTTTATGAGTTTCTCATCCTCTCTAATAAGAAGTATGCTGGTAAATATTTAACAACCAGCTCTCAGGATGTGTGTGGGGGGAGTACACAAGGCACATTTTTAGTTTAATCTGCATTATTAACATTTTCTCTAGCATTTTCTTAAGTCAATCAACAAGAAAATAAATCAAGTGCTGATTTGTATCATTCGCCGATTCCAAGGTATAAATTGCTCACGCTGAAAATTTAACAACTGGTTCTCAGGAGCCAGTAGACATTGGTTTCAGCACACCCCCTGTGTCCTGTGTTTGATGTATGCTCATCAAACTTATACATAACATGAGACTTTGATGGTGATTTTGACCTTTTAATACTCAGTAAGCTTTTATGTTACTTATAATTACTTTCTCAGAGTTTTCTGTCCATCGGGCCATTTGCCATCCAACCAACTGTAAACACCACGTAGTAAATCAGTCTTTCTTTGAGGGAGGATAATGAGAACTGAATAAGAGAAGGAGTAATAGCCTCTCATGCACAGCCCGAAGGTTATTCCTGAGTCCTTAGGCAGCTTGGAAATCAATGAGAGAACTTCATTTGAGCAGTTGGGGGTGGAGGAGCAAGAAACAGGAGCAAGAAAAAGTTGTCGGTGATCTTGTAACATACTGGCCTTGCCCCACAATTTGTAACTGGATAGAAATAAGAACACAGAAAAAACAAACACTATATGACGTCAACAGGTAAGCAATCCAAATAACTGAGATATTCTAAAAATGGAGACCATTTCCTCCCTGGAAAGAACAGAATAATTGACTAACTGAAACTGAATTATGCCTCGCTAAGGTGAATAATGCTTAGTCACCTGATCTCCAGCACCCACATCTTCTTCATTTCTGTCTAAATGGACACACTGGGCAATATCTGGAGATTGTTGTTCCAGGGCTACTAGCACATTGCAGGTCTTGAAGTCAAAGCCTACAGGGGAAGAAAAGCAAATAAGAGAGAATACACATTTCACAGGTGAGCCGGGCAGAGGCCTGCTTCCCAGGTGAATACGTGGTGGCCTTGCTCAATTCCTAACCCAAGCTAGAGCTCCTATCTTTTTTTAAGTTTATATAATCCTCATTTATACCTTCCAGGAAATATCTTACCTTTGCCTCATTTATCTAAGATAAGGTCAGGCGCAACCTAAAACTAATCCAAACCAAGAAATTGGTAACCAATGTGGGGTAATAATACACCTTCCCCCCCCTTGTGGTGAAGATAAAAATGAGATGATATTTGTAAAATGCTTTACAATACTGAAAACACTAACTAGTCAGTCAATAAACATTTATTAAGCACCTATTGTGTGCCAGGCGTGGTGCTAAGCACTGAGGATGCATGGAAAGGCAAAAGATAGGGCCTGCTCTCAAGGAGCTCACAATTTAGTAGGGCTACAACAAGCAAACAACTATGTAAGATCAAGATATATACAAGATAAATTGGAGATAATCAACAGAAGGAGGGCTCTAGCACTGGTGGTGGTGGTGGTGGTTACCATCTGCCTGCCTATAACCCCAAAGAAGGAAGGTAAGAGCTTGAAAGAGTCAAAGTCACAGAATAAAAAATGTAATCTGTCCACCTTTGCTAGATAAAGGGGTTCCAAAAAAGCCATTTTTTATGCAATCAGGGTCAAGTGACTGCTAAGGGTCACACAGCTAGTAAGTGTATGAGGGCAGATTCAAACTCAGGTCCTCCTGCCTCCAGGGCTGGTGCTCACTTCACTGTGCCATCTAGCAGCCCTAATTTTAGTTATTGTTGTTGTATGGTCAATTAGTCACATCTGACTCTCCGTGACTCCATTTGGGGTTTTCTTGGCAAAGAGGCTGGACTGGTTTGCCATTTCCCTCTCAAGCTCATTTTATAGATGAGGAACTGAGGCAAACAAGGTTAAGTGACTTTGCCCAAGGTCATACAGTTATTAAGTGTCCGAGGCTGCATTTGAATTCAGGTCTTCCTGCAATAGCACTGAGTTGGGAGACAGGGGACCTGGGTTCCAGTCCCATCTTAACCACAGACTAGGTTATAACCTTGGGACAATCCCTCCCAGTAAATTTCAACTTCCTCACTTACGAAGTAAAGGTGAGGGGGGTAAGGAGAGGAGAAAATTATTCAGCATGGGACAGTAAAAAGACCACTAGTCATTTGATCTTAAAATGACACAAATCTCCCTGACAAATCTCACTTCACTCCATGAAACATTTCCATCTGTCATGGCTAAAATTCTATACAATCAACCAAAAAAATGCCATTTCAGAGCAAGAGGCTTATTCCTCCTTGGCTATTGTTATGTTTTGTACACTGAGAAATAGTCTAATGTGAGCAACTCCATAGTACTCAAGTTGCCCTGAGGATGACAAGAATATGAGTAAATCAAGATTAAGGCTAAGAGATACTCCCTCCCCAAGTGGCTGGGCTGAAAATACCTCTGAGGCTTCTCAAGGTGAATCCTGACAGCCAGAACTTTTTCAGACATTCAATACCAACCATGACTTTTGTATGTGCACGGAGAGGATAATGGACACATGTTCTGAAGGGCCTAGCAATAATACAGATGTGAACAGAGCCTTTCCCTGCAGGACTAGCAAAAGGGTAGCAGAGGAAGCCTAGCCCATTTCTCAGGAATTCATTGCCAATGGACTTGCTTCTCAGGACAGCTGAACAGAAAACAGGCTTGTGCCTCCTCCTCAGAGGAGGCCTGTGCACCTTGGTCCTAGGGAACAGATAATGAGATGGAACTGTACCTCCTTGCTGTCCATTAGCATGGTACTGTGGAAATAGAATTGGTTTTAGAGTCAGAAAAAAACTTGGTACAAATGTCCCCTCTGACAATTACTCCCTGGATTACCTTGGACAAGTTACTTGCCTCTCTGGGTCTCAGTTTCCTCAACTGTAAAGTGAGGGGGTTTGGCTAGATGGCTTTTGGGCCCCTTGCAAAGCTAAGTCTATGATCCTCTCAGCAGAAAAGGCCACCCTGTCAGGCATTTTTGCTTAACTGTTTTCCTTAGTTACAAGAGAGGGTTCATTTCCTGAGGGGTGGCAATGTTTCTACAAATGATGGCGTTATACCAACAAAGGTATCAACCATACTTAAAAAATAGAAAAAAGATGGAGTCTATGAAACAGAAAGAAACAGAAGAAGCTGCAATGCATGAAAAGAACGGACTGTGACAAAAAGAAAAAAAAACCTCTGGCCTAAAGCAGCAAACACACTGGAGAACAGCAGAATATGGCTTTCTGCCTGACTGCAACAGCCAGAGATTTCCTGAAATATCCTCAATGCCAGATGATGATCAAATAGAGACACTAGCATCTGAGTGCACCGGTACACACACACACACACACACACACACACACACACACACATAGAGTCACAGAGCTGCCCAGGTGTCACAGGATGGAAACAAGCATTCATCAAGCATCTAATATGTGCTTTGTGCTGCACTAAGAACTTTACAAACATCGTCTCACTTGATCCTCCAACACCCCTGGGAGGTAGGTGCTATTATTGGCCTCATTTTACAGTTTAGGAAACTGAGGTAGACAGAAGTTAAGGCACTTGGTCAGGGTCACAGAGCTAGAAAGTGTCTGAGGCTGGATTTGGCTTTAGGTCTTCCTGGCTCCATGTCCAGTGGTGTGTGCCAATTAGCAGTCATAAACAACAGCCCATGTGCCATCTGCTACAGTAAGACAGGGCTCACGAGGAAATAAAATGAGCTTTGGAGTTACTCTTTCACTTTCCTCTCCCTTTACCATTTCTAGGGGAAATCCCTTCTGGGAACTGTCTCTCCTAAAGACAAAGACAAAAAGTCACTCTTGAATAAGTTCTGAATAAACCAAAATAGAGTGACTGTCTTGGTAGAACATGTTGACAGTTCTGTCTGGCAAAACATGTCCATTTGGCATTTCAGGAAGGTTAAATAATTTTGACAGTATGTTCCTCAGAGAGATTTCATAAAAGAATGCTTCTAAGAACTAGCAGAGTAGAGAGAAATATTTACTTCAAACATGCCTCTTAGCATTCCTGGGCCTCAATTTCCTCATCTGTGAAAATGAGAAGGTTTGACTAAACAGCCTCTGAGATCTCTTCCAACTCTAAATCTATGCTCTATGAAGGTCTGTTGCAAAGAACTGGGTTCAAACTGAGGTTCAAAGCCTCAGACACTAACTGCCGTGGCTCTGGGCAAATCGATTATCCTCTCCGCTTCAGTTTCTTCATCTGTAAAGTGAGTCCATTGGTCTCTGAGGTCACTTTTAGTTCTAAATAGGTGTTCCTGTGATTCTATGATCCTCTTGTTTATAGCACTCAATCACAGTGATAGTTGAGCACGTGGGGGTATTGTCTCATTTAGGTATGCCCAGGATGTAGCAAGAACCTCAAGCGTATTCTCTCCTCTACCCAACCTCATTTCCTTAAGAGTAGTCGATAGAGACATTAAGCAACAGTCCAACAATTCTGAAGTGTCTAATGTTGCTTCTGCAGTCCTAGACTATGGCCAACTTGACCCAAAGCCAGTTTGCTTCATTGGAGAACAAAGGTGTCCAAGGGTCAGTTTTGCATCTTCAGGCATTCCTGTTTATCTTCTCTCTACCTGAAGTAGAATTTGCTGCTCCTCCCCTGCCCCTTCCCACCAATGTTATTGGCTGGCTGGACTTTCAATCACAACCAAACTCTCAAGTTTAATACAACCGATCATCCAAAACTTTCCCTGGTTGACTCAATACTGGTTGATAGCACAGCCAACAACTGATGTTGGTGGAAAGGGGGAGAGAGAAGGAGCCAGAAAATTCTACTTAGGGGACATCTGTAAGGTATTTTTCACATAAGGATTTTATTAAAATCTGTGTCTCCAGCACTCAAATCACATATTCTCCTCACCAACAGATAGAAGTAGTGAATAGACAATGTGTGTATGTGTATATATGTGTGTATGTGTGTATGCATGAGTATACACATGTGTGTACACATGTGTGTATACATACACACATGAGTATACACATGTGTGTACACATGTGTGTATACATACACACATGAGTATACACATGTGTGTACACATGTGTGTATACATACACACTATAGAGAGATATTATCTATCTATGTGGTATTACAAGAATTACTAGTCCTATTTTATAGATGAGGAAACTGAGGCTCAAAGTGCCTCCGAAAAGGTTAAGTCATTTGACCACGTCACATAAGCAGTAAATAGCATAAGTAGAGATAAGGATGAGGACAGGGGCTAGCTAGATGTGACTTCATTGGTGTAGAGAGAGCTTCCCCTTCCAGTGGAGGTCAGCACCTTGTCTAAAATTTCTAAATAATCTCAGAGAATTGCAATGAGAGATGAACTGATTTGTCCAGTGTGTCTGAGACACAACTCAAACCCATGACTTCTCAGTTCCAGATCTAGCACAGTGTCTATTGTGCCAAGTTGTCTCCATACTTAAAGGTATTCTGCAGGCTTCACTATGAATTCAAATTAACGTTATGTCAATACAGGGAGGCCTGGTAACAGAACATAATTAGTATATAAAATAATGAGGGAATTTTTTTTCCCCTGAAAGCAGATGAGCCAGACACTTGGCTCTGGTGGAGTGGACTTGATTCCTTCCATGTCCTTGACAACCTAGCTATGCCGGCCTGCTTTCTATTCCTTGAACAGGACAATGCATCTCCTATCTCTGTGACTTTGCACTTGCTGCCCTCCATTCCTGGAATGTTCTGCTCCCTCACTTCCATCTCTTAGTGTCCCTGGCTTTCGTCAAGACTCAGCTCTAATCCCACCTTCTACAGGAGGTCTTTTCCAGTACCCCCAGCTACTAGTTCCTTCCTCTCAGATTACCTTCCATCTACTATCTATCCATCTATCTATCTATCTATCTATCTATCTATCTATCTATCTATCTATCTGTCTGTCTATCTCTACATCATCTATCTAGATAGGTATCTACATGGGTAGATCGATAGATATCTAGATATGTCTAGTAACAGATAGATAGATAGATAGATAGATAGATAGATAGATAGATAGATCTCTTGTGTGTATACTGTGTATACCTAGTTATTTACATGTTGTCTCCTCCCTGTCCATCCTAAAAGGCCAAGGTTAAATGCAATCAGGTCTATGATGCTTATCCTACCAGATGATTCTAAGATCTCCTTCCTATGAAGTCTCGTGATGTACATATCTTCATAACTTCTCTCAAATATGCCCCCTTCTGTTCTCTAACACTGCCAGACCCTGGCACAGGTCCTCATCACCTCGCTTTTGCACTATTGCAATAGCCTGATGGTGGGTTTCCCTGCCTCAAGTCTCTCCAGTCCATTCTCCACTCAACTGTCAAATCAATCTTCCTGATGTTGGTTGGCTGTTGTTCTTCATTCCTGAAGAGGACCAAAATGGCTTCACTATGTTGGGGTCAAGGTACAGTGTGTCCAACTGTGGCTGATCAGACCATTACAAGCTTGGAGGGCTATGCCACTAAGTCAGGCACAAATAGTCCATATTCTTCCTAAAGTACAGGTCTGAACATGTCACCTACATATCCCACTCCCATTCAACCAACTCCAGTGGTTACCTATTACATTCAGGATCAAATATAAAATGCTGTTTAGTTTTAAAGCCCTTCATATCCTGGACCTGTTCTACCTTTCCAGATTGCTTACATCATACTCCTCTCTGTGATCCAATGACGCTGGCCTCCCATACCATCCAGTGTTATTCCTCTAATATGACAATCCATCTCTTATCTTATTCTGCCCCAAACAATTGACGTTGTATGTTTCTTTTATCCTGCTTACTATATGGCAAGCTTGCTAAAAGCAAGTACTATGTATCACTCATTTTGTCATCTCTCATAGCATTTAACATCGTGCCTTAAATATAGTAGGTGCTCAATAATTCTTTTTTGAACTTAAGTTACTTCGTTTGCAATATAGAAGAACAATTAGCAAATTCAGTGACCTGCCATCACTCCTACTGTGAAAGATAATTGTCAGTACAAGTAATATCCTATGCCTTAGGCTAAGCCTTTTTTGTTGTTCGGTCACTTCGGTCATTTGGAGTTTTCTTGGCAAGGACACTGGAGTGCTTTGCCATTTCCTTCTCCAGCTCATTTTACAGATGAGGAACTGAGGGAAACAGGGTAAAGTGACTTGCCTAGGGTCACACAACTAGTAAGTGTCTGAGGCCAAATTTGAAATCAAGAACATGAGTCTTTCTGATTTAGACCCAGCCCTCTATCCACTGCATCACCTGGCTGCCTTTAGACTAAGCCTAGTTCCCCATTAAAAATGAGCTTGAGAAGTTCAAACATAAATAAGGAAACACTTTTTCAACTACCAGTAAACAAGTATTTCTTTATCTCACCCAAGCTGGGGATGGAAGAGAATACAAAAGTAGTATAAAAAATTAATCCTGCTTCAAGAAATTGAAAATCCACCTGGGAACTCAAGATTGTCAATAACCATTTTAAACAACAAACAATAAAATACTACAACTAAGTGCTATATTTTATGGCATGATGGATACAAACTGTTAAGTTCAAAGCAGAGGGAAATCAGTGTAGGTTCTAGTGGTCCAAGATGTTTTCACTGAGAAGCTGGAACTTGAGGTAGGTCCTAATGACCTTAATAAACACAAAATATGACTTTACTCTGATCAAGACAATGATCCAAGACAATTCCAAAGGACTCATGATGAAAAATGTTATCCTCCAGAGAGTTATAAACCAAGTGCAAATTGAAGTATAACTTTATTTTAGATTTCTTGCTTTTTGGTGATATGGCTAATATGGAAATATGTTTTGCATGATTTCATATGTATAACTGGTACCATATTACTTGTCTTCTCAGTGGTGGGGGGAGGGACAGGTGGGAGTGAGAAAATTTGCAACTAAATTTTTTTAAAAGAATGTTAAAAATAAGTGACAATTTTTAAAAATAAGATTATATGAAAAAATAAAAACAAGATATCTTAAGCAAATGATTAACCTTGATAAAAAAAAAGTATAAATAATATCAATGAATTTTTAAGTACTTTTCTCTACTTTGCTCTTTATTAGTAATAGTGGTAGTAATAACAATAAAAATGATAGCTAGCATTTATATATTGCTGTAAAGTTCATAAAACACTATGTATAATTTCATTTGACCCTCATAACCACCTTATGAGATAGATCTTATTATTATTCCTATATTACAGATGAGGACACTGAGGCAGAAAGAGGTTAAGAAACTTGATCATGTTCACTCAGCTAGTAAGTATCTGTGGCAGAATTCCAACACAGGTTTCCCTGACTCCCAGTCCCGTTACTTTGTTTTAGACTAACGTGTTCTTCATGTGGTTGTGCTGAGGGCCAAAAAAGCAGGTAATGAGCCCAGTGGCAGAATGTCTTTATAGTCTCTGTCACGATAGGATTCAAGATATCATTATGACGTTTTGAGGCTTGGAGGACTTTCCTGGGATTTCATTAATGTAGAGAATAAGTGGCAAATAACAATAGAGAGGCTTTCTCTGCCACATAGAATGTTAGAGAGCTTCCCAAGGCCTAGAGAAGAGAAATTTCCTGCCCCCAGTCAGGAAGTTAGGATGTGTCAGTGGTGAGACTTGAACCCAGGTCTTCCTAGAAGCCAGCCTTCCTTTTCCCTCCTTCAATTGTTTTATTTTATTTATTTGAAATTTATTATTTATTTATTTTTAGCATTCTTTTTTTTTAGTTCCAAATTCTCTCCCTCCCTTCTCCTCCAGCGTGCCCCCCATTGATTGAGAAAACAGGTAATATCATATCACGCTTCTATGTGTTGTTATGTAATTCTTATGCTAGTCTTCATTCAGATACATGTGTGAGGCATATATAAAGTGACCCAGCATTGGCCACTATTTCAAAAGAGCTGTATTGCTCTCATTTCTAGATTTTTCTGCCATTCAGGCAGCTAGGGACACCCACCCTTACGAAATACCTAATATTAGCAATTCAACTTCAGGCCCTTGATGTTTTCACCAAGCACAATTTTGTAATTAATCACTTGATTTTCACTCTTGAATATTTACAACAAAGACACGGCTGCTCATTTGTTTAAACAAGATTTTGACTAAGGTCAGCCACCATTGGAGTCAAATGATGCCATACCAGACAACCTAAACAGAAATGTGTTTTCATTTAATTCTAATTTTCTATAATAATCAGGGGTATTTGCCTATGAGCAGTTTCTCTTCCCAGTGCTTTATTGTTCAGGATGTGGGCCTAGCTACCCGAGCTCATCTTTTTCTAACATGGTCTTTTATATTACCCTGAATTCCTATGACATGACCTACAAATTTGTTTCACCCATAAAGGCATCTGGAAAGCTTCCAGATAAATCTGCTCTCATTCCCAGACATGGAGACACAGTTAAGATGAATGTGCTTTTCGGTCCCAATGTTTTCTCCCCTACCTTTGGCTGAATCATCATAGCCTATGTGTTTGATGGTGTCCCGGACTACACGCTGATAATCCACCATGGCAACTGAAGTGATCTCCCCACAGAGTAGAACCATCCCAGTTTTGCAGACAGTCTCTGTAAAGGAGAGAAGAGAAAAACTTAGAACACACATTGCAAGGCAGCAAAGGCTCCATACAGCCTGAGACGGCCCTCAGAGTGACATTGAAAAAGCTGAAGGAGACTGGATGGCAAAGCTGTAACTAGTATGGGGTGACTAGGGCTTTGTCCCAGGGGAGAGAGAATGCTTCTTCTCCACAGCAACCATCCCACATGTTATTCTCTATGTCGCCACACAGCGCAGCTTCTGTCCACCCCACCCTCTCCCCATCAAAGGGCTGGCAGTGGCTCATAATCCCTCTCTCAACTCCTATAGAATGTGTGGGGCCTTGGGGTCAGGTCGCCCCCCAGCTGCTCCTTTGGTCAGACTATGCTTTGCATGGGTACTATGTAATTAGTTCTAGTATAAGACCAAATAAGACCTGTGACCTTAGAAAAGTCACTTTTAGTAAGAGCACTGTTTCTAGAGTCTTAGGACCCAGCTCAGATACTAACTCTGATGCTTCCTGTCTTTATGACTGTAGAAAAGTCACTCAACTCCCTTGGGTTTCAATTCCCCTATCTGCAGAATAAGACAATTGGACAAGAGGGCCTCTGATGTCTTTTCCAGCAACTGATCTATCATCTTATGGCCTCTTTGAGCTTTAGTTTTCTTACCTATAAAATGATAGAGTTCAACAAGATTGATCTTTATAAACTTTTCCAGCTCAAAAATTCTATAAATCTATCATTATAATCCTGAGTCTTATTGAAATCAAAAGAGTATGAAACAAGAACATTCCCTTAATATCAAGATGAAGAACCTTGCACCTTATACAGGTTTAGGAAATACTGATAGAGGATGATAATGATTTGAATGAAATTTAGGTGAAATTTAGAAATTTAGATTAAATTTAGATGATTTAATTACACAATAATGTACCTTGGTCTATCTACAGGCTTAATAAGGAATCACAAGACGATATTATGACACATATGGGAGAATGAATTAATTATCACATAATTTAACTCTAACCAACAGACTAGTGCCAAAATAATAATCCCCTAGAAAATCACTCTTTTGTCGAGTGCTACCATGAATTAGAAATTATAAATGAAAAAAAAAATCTAAGCCAGAGAGACATCTGTGTTTATGTCCCATTTTGGTACAATGAAGTCATTATTAACAGTAACTTTAAAGGTTTGGCTTGTTCCCAGGAACTGCCTGATAACTTCTTGCAGAAGACCCAAAATCTGCATTGACATTTCCCCTAAATGAAGATAACCTGCTTAATTTCCAATCAGATAAATTCTCTGGGACTTTCTAGTTGTGACCAAGCTCTGAGACAGGTTTATACAGGATTATTCTCCCAAAGAAGGTAACCTATTTAGGACCATTAAAACACCAAGCAGAGCTTCTACAAAACAAAAAGATGAAACGACTAATTTTTCATATGGTACAATGATTTCACCTATATAAATAGGAAAAAAAATTCAGGCTGTTGAAAGACAATGGATTTAGGAGATAGGCTATTTGGATTCTAGTAGTGGCTCTGACCCTAATTTGGCACACGACTTGGAGATAGATATAACCTCTCCAAGATTTAGCTTCCTCGACTTTGAAATGAAAGGATTGAACTAGATTATTTCTAAGGTCTCTTTCACCTCTAGTATTTAACCCAGCATTTAGCACAGTGCCTATCCCATACTAAGCACTTAATGAATGCTTGTTGACTGACTGAAACACTATAACCCATGAGGCATAAAAGCAATACTCAATGCTCATTTGGATATTTAGATCTCTAGGAGAAGAAAATAAAAATTTACATGTACCCAAGAATAGATACGAGCTCTATTACATTTGGAAAATGACACAATGAATAACAATTCATTGGTCAATGAATGACAAAATCAGGATTCCAAAAGACCTTGGCAGGCTAGAATGTTGGTCTTAAACTAATAAGATAAAACAGTAAAGGTTTAGACGGAGGTTTAAAAAAATGATTTCATGAGTATATAAGATAGGGGGGTATGGCTAAACTGCAGGTCTTCCGAAAAATAGTGGGAGGTTCAGTGGGCTGAAATCGATATGAGTTGACAGTGCGGCATGATTGCCAAAAAGATCATGTCAACATCCCCCATTTAGAGGTGCAATGTTCAATGTTATAGAGGTGATTGTCCCATTGTACTCTGTCCTTAACAAATCACATCCAGAGAATGGTGTTGTTATGGGCACGATATTTTGGGAAGGATGTGGATGAGCCAACAAGCATCCAGGGGAGGATGACCGAGAGAGTTGAGGCTTTCATGAACATGTCACATAAGGGTTGGGAGAAAAAAACAGAGATGTTTAGCCTAAAAATGTCTTAAGGATATAAAGATAATGCTATTGAAGTAATTGAAAAATTGTCACATAGAAGAAGGATTGGGCTTGTTCTATTTTGCTCCCAAACGATAGTAATAACAACCAGAGCAATAGCTAACATTCATATATTGCTAACTAGGTGCCAGGCATTATGCTAAGTGATTTATAATTATTATCACATTTGATCCTTACAACCCTGAGATCTAGGGGCTATTGTTATTCTCCTTTTGACAGATAAGGAAACTGAGGCAAATAGAAGTTAAGTGACTTGCTCAGCTAGTAAGTGTCTGAAACTGGATTTGAACCCAGGTACTCTCTAATTCAAGACCTAGTGCTCTATCCACTGGGCCCCCTAGCTGCTAATATGGTAGATGGCAGAATCAGGAGCCACAGGCCAGAATTATAGAGATGTAGATTTAGATTTGATTTAAAGAAAAACTTGTGAACAATTAGAGCAACCAGAAGTAGAATAGGTGCTTTGAGAGGTTATACTACAGTATGCAAATATGAGCGCACGGTCACACGAGCACACGCACGCACACACACATACTCGCATCTCTACCAGAGGTCTTCAAAGAAAAGCTAGATAATCATTTGCTGGCTACACTGTAGAGGGGGTTCTTGCTCAAATATAGGTTGGACTGGATGGCCTTTAAGGTTACTTCCAATTATGAAATTGTGACAATTAAAAAATTTGAGAGATGCAGTTTCTGGATAATTCAATCATTTAATTAATAAGACCAGCACCTTTACTAATAAAAGGAGGTCATTTGGCCATCTCTCTTAGACCAAAGACTCCTCATGGTGGTGGGTTCACAGTTATGCCCTTCAAAGAGTAGGTGTTTCTGGGGGGTGGCAATGAACTCTGATTGGTTAACAATGAGAGAATGAGTGTTACAATGAGAGTGTGGGCTGTATTAACATGAGGGTCTTGGGGTACATGACTTCAGTCACCAAAATCTTGGTCAGAGAGACTTATCAATTTCCATATCACCTATCTGACAAAAGGGAGGAGCCACATTTTCCCAGATCTGTCTGAGCAAACACAATGAGCAGCACTACACCCATTAGCCCAAACTTAGAATTTCTTTTACAGTCTGATTAGCTCTTGGCCTGGGTTGGTTTCTTGATGAGGAAACAGAAAAGGAGGAGAATTTTGGTCCTAATTCAATAATTAGCTATTAAATGTAAGAGAGAAATAATCATTTCTCACAAAATCATGTGACTTTGTGATTCTTACCGCAAGCAACCTTGGCATTTGGGTCTTGTTTGAGATGGGCGTCTAGCACAGCATCACTGATCTGATCACAGATCTTATCTGGAAGAAGAAGGAAACTATCAGTCTGAAACAGTACATAAATCATTTATGAATGGACAAATGTGAATATATCATTAGCTATTAAAGAAGAGACTAGAATATTGGGTATCTGAAAAATAAGAAATTTCAAATACTGTTTCAAGCACCTCTCCTCTCCCACTCCAGCTTTGGGGTGATGTTAATTTTTGTCCTAATCTTGGAATTTCCTGTAGAGAAAGATGCATGCCAAAAACAGTTACTCCAAGACCTCCAGGGTAATTCACAAACATTCTCCTAATAATGTTTTCATCCATCAGCATATATTCCCTAATTCCTGAGTGCACATCTGGAAAAGTCCTAGAAGCAGACACTCAAGTGCTTACTTCAATAATAACAAGTTAAAGTTAGGATAGTGAAATCTGATTGGACAACAGAAGGGGTTTTTTGTTTGTTTTTTTAAGAGTCAATGCACTAGGTTCAAATTGTTACACCTTAGTATGTGTAAATTCTAAAACAAAAGTGACCAGGAGAATACCTCTAGATCAGTATAAAAGTTTAAGATATTTTCACAAGAAATTCTCTAGCTTTCCCAGACAATCCCAAAACGACATACATCCTCATTGTTTTTAATAACATAAATAGTTAACTGAAAACCCTTGTCTAATGTTAGTTGCAGTAGACACAAGAGAGCTCCAATCTGTAGCTTGGCATTGTTCTTTTCATATTTATGAAGGATGTCTTCAGTGTCAAAGATACTTGTAAAGAGGGAGCCCAGAGATGCATTTCCCAATTAATTTGGCCATAGAACACTTTAGAACCTGACATATACCAACAAAATCATACATGCTGGTCAAGATATATGGAATTGCATTGGCACATAGATAACTTTTGGATTGAGCAAATTAACCTTATTTTACTACCAAAAATGCCATATTCCATGTGTATCTGATATGTACATTATTTGATATGTAGTATCTTAGAGAAGAAATACGAAATTTTCCCATGGAACCATTATGTCCATCTTGAACAGCATCATGTTTGGGGAAAACTCCAGGAAAAAAAAATGTATCACTGTTACTTCAGGACAACCTGAGATGCCCATATTCAAAACTTAAGGAATAAAAAGCACTTTGGCCTTATACCCACATTCTTAGATGTCAGATTCAAGTTTCAAATTAGCTGCAAAGATCAGTTCTTTAAATCACTTCTTTTTCTCCAGTAAAGAGTAAGTACTAAGAACAGGGCCGCACAATTGTGTGACCACTATTAATTAAACCAAGAAACTTCTAAGAGTGTACCATGGAACTTGAGTTATTGTATCTAAATTGTATTAGGCTCTGGTTCAAACAGATATTAAACAACATGAAACATGTTTATACTGTTGCTTCTTATCAATTTCCTCTATGCTATTTTATGCAACATTTACCTGGCATTACTGTCTTCATATTTTAGGCTCATTTTACCAGTGGGAGTTTGCTTGTAATATTTTTTGTTTCTATTAAAAAAAAATACCTATACCTACAAGCAACTTTCAATTATTTACATAAAAATTATCACTCTGGGAACAGTGTAACTGAATTTAATTGAAATATAAATCTATTTTAAACAATATATTGTGCCATACATTCCCAAATCAAATAGAATTTATTTTAGTATTTTCTACTTCATAAAATAATCCACTAGTCTGGAAGCAGAAAGCTGACCATATACACAAATATTTTCTGTATAGAATTTTTTCAATGAAACTAAAAGGGAAATATGTCTGGGATCCTTTCATGCTCCAACACTGTAAATGTTATATTACACTGCACATCATACATTTCACTATAAGTGTTTTGTTAGAATGCAAACTTAAAACTCTATAGTCACTGCTGTTCCTCTAATAGTTCATATTGCCTAACAAAATTCATATCTATTCACATTCATCAAAAAATAGTTCATATTATCTTTAAAAAAAAAATAGAATGAGCTCCACTCACTATGCCCTAACATGAAATTTTGAATGTTCCAAATAAATTTTGAACCTGCATACATGGCTTATCCAAAAATTCAAAGCACAACAGCTTAAGAATTGGGAGGAACCATTCAATCCAGCCCCTTCATTTTACAGGTGAGGAATCTGATGTTCAGAAAGGAGAATGACTTACCCAAGATCACACAGGTAATAAACAGAGCTACAAGCCAAAACTCGGTTTTTTTCCCCTTACTTCCAAATCCAGCTCTCATACTCACAAATGTTTTCAAAACTCCTCATCTTGCTTTAACACATAGAGCATCTGAACAGCTACCACATCATAGAAACCAGAGAGCCACTCAAGGGCTATGCATCATCTGAATAAAAAGATTAGAATGACTAGCCTCAATTACAATTTAATGAAGCACTATCATATTCCTCTGCCTGCCTCCCTATGTCTCATTTACTAGGTGGGATGGAAAACAGGAAATAAAATCTCATGGTGTCAAAATGGATATACTGAATATACTTTAATACATGCAGAAGAGGCAGCCAAAAGTGTGCCTGATTGAAGAAAGAGTGTAAAAATTAAAATTCAGTTCAGCAAGCATCTATTAAATGTCTGCTATATGTAAGGCACAAAGTTAGGTTTAGGTGATTGCAAAGACAGTAATGAAAAAAGTCCTTCCTTTAAGCAACTTATGTTCTCTTGCCAAGTGCTTTGCACACCTCAGCGTACCTCTGGGGCCTCCGTGAATGATACAACCAATCAACAAATAGTTGGTATACATTCACTCTGGGTGCCTAGAAGTATACCAAGTGCCATGGAGAATTACAGAGCAGTACAAGAAAATGGAGAGGAAGCCCAGTCCAGGGCACAGAGACCTTCTCAAAGTTGGCCAATGTCTCCTAGGTTCTTTATCATGGGCAACCATAAACAAAGATCATATGCCAATCCCCTAAAGGCCTACCAAAGCAAGTGAGTAGAAAAGCAAAGCCTACCCCTATTTACATATGGCCATCAGACGGTCAACCAACGAAAGAGCCTTCCCTTATGAAAACAAGAACTTGAGAACCAAATGCTCATGGGAGATAGATCTCAAAATCATCTACTTTGTGAGTATGCTACAACCAAACTGAATAATTCAGTCAGCTTTATACAAGTATCTAGTTAGGTGGAGGAAAAAGAAGATCCAAGTAATATGGAAGCAATAGTACTTATTTCAGAAGTTTGACAGCATGCAATTTATTGACATTGTATTGCCTCCACAAGTACAGATTGCAACTGTGCCATAACAAAGTAATTAGCCTTCAAGAAATGGTGAGGCCAAAAAAATGTTATCACCCCATGGCCACTGACATGGTGTTGAACCTCTTAAAATTTAGCTAAGTCTGTTCCTCAGACAGCAGAGAGATGACCCATCACCAGGTCCACACTAGAGCTTTTCCAGCTGGGTAAAACCAACAGAACTTCAACTCTACTGGCATGGCTATCAAGAACTCAGAATTCCTTCCATGCTACAATGAGGAATTGAAGAATAAGAATTTATGATATTTTATAGGCTACATCTAAGGTCTGATAGAACACATTCGCATATAATGCCCACTTCAAAATCCTCTAAACTTAGAGGAGTCACCCATTTTGCTAAACAGGGCTGACTAAGCTTGATGAGGGTTAATTGAGTATGTATTCCTGGTTTTCATGAAGAAGGTGCAAGAATTAGTTCACAGTGGATAGAGTGCTGGTCCTGGAGTCAGAAGAACCTGAGTTCAAATCTATTCTCAAATGAGCTGTGTGATATTCAGCAAGTCACTTAACCTATTTGCCTCAGCTTCATCATCTGTAAAATGAGGTTAATAACAGCATTAATCTCCCCAGGTAGTGAGAATAAAATGAGATATAGTGTACAGCACTTTACAAATCCTAAACTGTAAAAATGCTAGCTATTATTATAATTGTGGTTATTGGTAGAGAACAAGGTACAGTAAAAAATAGTGATAGTCCAACATGACTATTATGGAAGTGTTTTGCATGACTACACATGTATAACTTATATTGCATTGCTTGTCTTCTCAGTGAGGGTGGACAGGAGGGAGAGAGGGAAAGAATTTGGAACTCGAAGTTTTAAAAACAAGTGTTAAAAATTGTTTTTACATGTAACTAGGGAATAAGATACACAGGCAATGGGGTATAGAAATATCTTACCCTACAAGAAAATAGGAGTGGAAGGGGATAAAATAAGGGGGGCATGATAGAAGGGAGGGCAGATTGGAGGAAGGGATAATCAGAAGCAAAATATTTTTGAGGAGGGACAGGGTGAAAGGAGAGAGAGAACAGAATAAACAGGTAAGGGGAATAGGATGAAGGTAATACAGGTAGCAATAGTAACTGAAAAAAAATTGAAACTAATCTCTCGGATAACAACCTCATTTCTCTAACATACAGAGAACTGTGTCAAATTAATAAAAATAAGAGCCATTCCCCAATTAATAAATGATCAAAAGATATAATCAGTTTTCAGATGAAGTAATTAAAGCTATGTAGCCACATGAAAAAATATTCTAACTCACTATTGAATTGAGAAATTCGAGTTAAAACAATTCTGAGGTACTACCTCATACCTATTAGATTAGATAACAGAACACACAAGTTAAATGACAAATGTTGGAGGGGATATGGGAAAAATGAGACATTAATGTACTATTGTCAGAGTTGTAAATTGATTAAACTATTCTATAGAGCAATTTGGAACTATGTCCAAAGGGCATATCCTTTGACATAGTAATACCACTACTAGGTTTGTATCCCAAAAGAGATAAAAAACAAAAAGGAAAATGACCTATATGTACAAAAATATTTATAGCAGATCTTTTCTGGGGGCAAAGAATTAGAAATTGAGGGGATACACATCAATTGGGGAGTGGCTAAATAAGTTGTGGTATATAATTATGATGGAGTACTATTGTGCTATAAGAAACAATGAGCAGGTTGCTCTCAGAAAAACCTAGACAGACTTACATGCAAAGCGTTTATGCAAAGTGTAATGTACTAGGTACAAAGTAACAGCAATATTATAAGGTGAGCAGCTGTGAATGACTTAGCTATTCTCAGCAATGCAATGATCCATGAGGACTCTGAAGGACTTAGGATGAAAAACGCTATCCATCATCAGAGAAAGAACTGATGGTGTCTGAACGCAGATTGAAGCAACTTTTTTTATTTGTTTTTTTGTTTTGTTTTGTTTCACTTTATTTTTCTTGAAATTTTTGTTTGTGTTTTCTTTCACAACATGACTATTATGGATATGTTTTGCACGACTACATATATATAGCCTTAAAAAATTGTGATAGTCTTTGCTAACTACGATCTTTTTCTCTGTAAGTATCAGCACTGTCAAAATGTCAAAAGAGGCAATATATCATAATGTTAAGCGTGTTGGACTTGGAGTCAGTAGACCTGGGTTTGAATTCCCTTCTCATGGAAAAGCCACTTAACCTCTAAGATCCTTACTTTTCTCATCTTTTAAATGGGGATGGTAATAGTTGTACTACCTAATTCATAGCCTTTATCATGTGAAATGGGAGTAACCACACCATTATGCTTATACAATTTTGAAACTCTCAATACATGAATTAGTTCATATTATAATCATGTATATGCCTTTATCATTTATACTAAAGCTTCTTTCATGAAAGAGTGACTGATTTCTTTTCCACATTGCCTTTAAGGTAAATAAGTTTCCAGCTGTTAGTTATTGTAATCATCTTTTAAGGATGGCTTATGGTGTGCTAATCCCTACCCAGGAATCTTTCGCAGGAACATAGATCTGGTGGTATGCCTCCCCTGGAGGTCCAAATAAGCAGTAGATTCCATTCTTGAGGAGGAACATCTTTTTTCAGTACTGAGGAACTATCATCCCTATACAAACTAAGGAAGGCAGCAGGTTGAATTAACATTTATTAAGCTCCTATTATGAGCGAGATATAATTACTGCACTGAAGTACCTTGCAATCTATGTGGAGAGACTGAACATATGCATTTTAAAATGGATGCATATGAGTCCCAAATGAGTGGTACAATATAGTAAGGGCTTGAAGATTTCAATAGACTCAAGCACAGTCTAATGAAAGGGACAAAAGGGATGTGTGTTCTGTTTATGTTTATTTTTATTGGTATTGTTAAATATTGCAATTATAATCTGAAGTTCCATATAAATGTTGCAGTTTTAATTTCTTTCTAGCACCAAGACTATGGTAAGATGAAATTGTTTACATTATCAAAAATAATAATTTATTTTGAAATAAACACCAATTCCAACCTTTTCAGTTATTACTTTGATCTTTCAATGTTGCATCCATAGAGCTGTGATTTCATTGGTATGGGTACTCACTTTAACCATTAAAAGCACAGCCCATACATCCATGCTTGCTGATCTTGTGCTACCCTTGTTCAAGGGGTCTATGCACAATGTTAGGGCCTTCTTCCAGATCTCTTGATGGATACCAATGCTAATGGAGCATATGGACTATCTTCCATTGAGAGCAAGGAGTCCCAGAATATGATCATCCTACTTCCTTTTCTAGGCATTCTAGATAATCTTTAATAATATCTTTTACAACATTGTTATGCATGATTCTTCATTGGTAATATGCAGCCATATCTTCCTCTCTGCTGTTTTTCATTATCAAATGATTCAAAACTACCTTATTTCAAATATGGTAAATGTTGAAGTTTCCACAGACTTGGTGGCCAATGACTATTCTCATATAATGGAAAAAATAAAATGTCAACTTAACGAATTTAGAGTGAAGGGAAATGCTGGATAGGAATTCATTTAAATGGTGGTACATGGTATTCAAAATCATTCATTTATCAACTTTTTCATTTTTCACCTATTCAACACATTATTATTGTATCATCATGGATTCTTTGAAGGTCCAATCTGGTCATCCAAGGTCCTAAGTTTTTCCCCTAGGTACAGAGAATCAGAACCTCTAATTGTCAGCACTTAATAAGCATTTAGAGCTCTGGGAATGCATGAGATAAAGCAGTATACTGGAAAATAAATGCCATGACAATCCCAGATACCATACTTCAAAATTAGTAGACAAAAATTTTGAAGTGGGCAATAGGAGTAGGAATAATAACATTCACCTACTGCACAGGGAAGTGGGGAAGGGACTAATGAACCAAAAGGAAATATCAGGCAGAAAAAACAAGAGGCAAACTAGGAGAATGAAAGATAGTCAAGATAATAAATGTTTACTGGATTGAGTTTGTTTGAGGGAGTAAACATGTTACGTTGCAATACATTTCAAGTTATCAATAAAGCCTCTGAGTAATACATAAGCACATGCCTGAACTGCAGCTTTGAGGGTTGCCAAAAATGTCTTGTCATTTTAGTCTAAAGTGCAAAAAACCTCATGCAGAGCTCCAAAATACATCTGAACTTTATGATACCCCTATATCTATAATGTTTATATAAGAATAATGCCAGAGACTGGAAACAACTAGACTTTCAATAGTGCCTTCATGTTAGCAAAGCATTTTATAGCCATTTCATATATGATCATCAATAGCACTATAAGATAGCTACTACAGGTATTATTGGTAAACATTTTGCAGACAAGGAAAATGAGGCTACCAGAAGGTAAGTGACTTGCCACTGATCACACAGTTAGCAAGTGTCAGGGGTAGAATTGGAACTCAATTCTTCCTAATTCCGGGTCCAACACTCAGCCCATAATGCTGTGTTGTATCTTTGGGAAGGCATGGCATAAAGTAAAAAGAAGCAGAGTCTGAATCAGAGACCCTGGGTGTGAATATAGCTTTTGCTAGACTGATTGTGTGGTGCTGAGCAAATTGCTTCACTTTCTGAGTCTCGGTCTTCTCATCTGTAAAATGTGGAGACTGGACTATATGGTCTCCAAGGTCCCTTCCAGCTCCAAGCCTATAATTCTACAATCTCCAAGGTCTCTTTGGTTGGAAATCTTTGCTCCTATGAAGTTGATCATAGTTACAACTGTCCAGAGTGACGATTTCCCTTCCTAAGGTAGCTATTGTCCATATGCCTTTGCAGGAGTAGAAGGGCAAATAATTATCTTTTCAGCCAAAGTTTTTTTTTCCTTCATATTTCCTAAAATAACAGACATTTGATACCATCTCTTTCTTTCTAAAGTACATTCACTTAACATGGAAAACTCAGTGACCCTTGTCCTTGTTTGAGGGAACATTTTCTGTTGACTCAAGCTGCATATTGGTGGCAGAAGACTATTTGATTTTTTAAAAATACATAATTTTAAATTCTCTGACCATACACACAGACATTCAGCTGGTTATTTTTGCATTTCCAATTCAAGCAACTCCATACATAACCTTATTTAAAAAATATAACAAGATACTTGTGAGGCTAAACATGCTGCATATATTATTGTTTTATACCCTGTTATTTTGTGTTTTCTCTCTGACAGCTGAGAGTTCAACTTTTCTATGAACATATTTTCTAAGGCTTTGAGAATATGAAGACCAAACCCAATCCCCATTCGTATTTATAACAGGATTATCATCATCATCATCATCATCATCATCATCATTATTATAGGCAATAACAATAATAATAATAGATTTATATAGTGCTTTAAGGGGTACAAAATGCTTTACATATACCTTCATTTTATCTTCACAACATCCAGAAAAGTTGATGCTAATATGTTATTTTTATTTTACAGATGAGAAAGTCAAATAATAAGTGACTTGTCCAGAGTCATACGGCTCATAAATGTCTAAGGTAGGATTCAAATTCAGATCTTCCCGACTCCAGGTCCAAGGCTCATATCTACAGCATATCTAACTGTTCTGGTTTGTTTGTTCGTTTGCTTTTTTCAGAGAAGTAATACAAAAGTAATATAGCTAATACTAATAACTAATAATGCTAATACAACCTGCCCTCTTTGACGGCAGTTGTTGTTGACACTAACTATATTCTTCTTCGGGCAACCACCCACCTCTTCCATCCCATGTCACTAATTGCTAGTGACTTAATTGTTTGAAGCCATTCCCAGGCAAGCTAACTTACCAGGATGCCCTTCTCCTACAGACTCCGAAGTGAACATGAAAGCCCCTTCTTCACTCAGAGAATGGTCACATAAGCCATCCACGGGTCCATTCATGTTGCAACACTTTCCCTGTAAGTTTCTTCAAAGGAACAGATTGAGGACTCTGATTGCACCCTGGTTTCCTTTGGGAGCCAAAAGGAATTTCCCCCCCAGCAGAGCTGTTTCTATCTAGGAGACTGCCTCTGCCTGCAGAGCTTTGAGCAAGTGTGAGTAGAAGAAATATGTATGAGAAAGTGAATGAGTGAACTGAACCGGCATGTGCCTCTTCCCCCTATCAGTGTCTCTGGCTGATTGGATCTTTAGTTCCAGTTGCTCCTATATATGGAAAAGTGAAAGTGCCTGAATAATCATGTGAGAAAATTGGAGGAGTCCATTTGCTGGGAGTGGAGGGGAACCTTCTTTCTTTGGGGGAATTTCAATGAACTCTGATTCCCCACAGCATAAAATTCAGCATTGCACATCAAGAAACCCTATGATTTTTTGCAAAAGTGAAGAACCTATGGGATCCTTGATTGGCTTCATTTGGAATGTATGAATTAGTCCAATTTTGACATCCCCTTTGGACAGATGTAAATGTTTTCACATGTGTACTGTTGTTGCATGAAGATAGAAAAATGTGGGATCGAACTCTCCTGAGGAAATGTGTGAGAATAATAGTTGATTTGGAGTATGGAGAAGTATTGTAGCGTAACTTGTCTTTGCTACAAGGTGTTTCTCCCCTGTTTCTTTTCAGTATTTCTTTAGTTTTCTTCCTTCTTTCTTTTTTTGTTTATTTTTTTTTCTATTGTCCAGTACGGGTTTCTCTATTTGTATATATCTGTTTGAGCTTATCACTAAAAGAAAGCCAAAGCTAAATTCTGCCTTGGTTTGCAGTTGCTGAAGAGCAGTTTTAACATAGTTTCCTCTTAAAAGGAAAGCATGCCTCTTTGTTTTCAAGTCTTCTTTGACCACACTAATTGTTGTAAAAGGTATTTCTGCCTCTATGAAGTTGCTACATAACGACCAGATGGACTGTTACTGAATCAAGTTTCCTAAGTTTCAGCAGAGAAAATGTTTTTTTTTTTTTCCAGGAAAGGATTTTAAAAGTAAAAAATCATTCCTGGGGCATTTCAGCTATGGAAGAGTACAATTTTCTAGAGCCTTCAGGATAGAAATGTGATGTTTGTATGTATAGTAGCCTAGATACAATGACTTCCAGTGAATCCCTATTCACACTGATCCTAGAATCTTCTACGATGGCCAAAATAATAAATAAAGCATATTATACAAGTAAGAAGACAATGCATTTCTAGTAGGAACACCCTCTAATTTATCATCACATTCCAACTGTGTTTGGATTCTTCTGTAATTTGAGGCAATAAAAATTAAAGGTAATCAGGTTGAAAGGAAAACTGGAATACAGAAACCATTTTGCATTAGGGAAAAACAAAAGATCACTCAAAATCCAGTGTCAAACACTTCAAAAATAGCAAAATGTGAAAGCCATGGTTGGGAACCATGATGATTACATTTAGATGTGTCTCCCATATATGCATTATTTTTTTAAAGTTAATTAAGAAAGGTCACTATTCCCTTTTGGCATGAATTCTGGTCTCTAAAGCAACAACCAGCACATTGATGGCTTTACTAATTGCTTAGTAACAAAAGCCATATTTAAATACTTTACTACTACCAATGAAACAAAATCAACACTCCCAAGACATTAAGCAACATTTTTGTTTAGCAATATTTAACAAGGAGGGACCTTTGGCTGGGGAATGGGATTAGTAAAAGGAGAAGAAAAGGCTGATGGCAGGAGGTAGATACAAAAGGAGAATCATATTAGGACATGAGATAACCTTTGATACCATCAGTATATTGGGATTCACATTGTTTGCACCTAAAATGTTTCATCATCAATGTGCTTCAGCAAATTTCTTCTGCGTATATTTGTTTCAAACCAGGAGGTATAGTGGGCTAATGTTTAATTTGGACTGTAGACCCAGGTTCCTCCCTCAATCAGTTGCTTTGTTTGGGGGGTTTTTTTTCAATATCTACCAAACAGTAAAAAAAAAAAATAAGACAAAGTTGAGATATCAAACAATTGTCAAAGTTCTCAATCAGGAGCTAGAATGAAGTAAACCAGTAGTCTCCCTGTCCTCTGTATTGCAAGGATAAAATTAGCAGTAGAATCATTGATGCTCCCTGCTTTTAAAATAGTTTAAGTAGTATTAGGAAACAATTATCATTTATAATACGAAAGGAGAAAAAAATTTATTGAAACTATGTTACTCCCTATGTAATCCCTTCAAATGGGTCACAGTTTATTCAAATTCTAAAATGAGAGGGTTGGATTAAATCATGTTACGTTGTTTTAAGGCATGTCTGACACTTTGAGACCCCTTTTGGGGGGGTTTTCTTGGCAGAGATACTGGAGCAGTTTGCTATTTCTCTCTCTCTGCCATTTTATAGATGAGGAACAGAGGCAAACATGGTTAAGTGACTTGCCCAGGGTCATACAGCTAATAAGTGTCTGAGGCCAGATTTGAACTCAGGAAAATGAGGCTTTCTGATTCTAGGCCTATCACTCTACTCACTGAACCACCTAGGTGCTTATTTTGTGTGTCATAGACACATTTGGTAGTCTGGCGAAAGCTATGAACCCCCTCTGAGAGTCATGTCTCTATTTGTCGGTTTGTTTTGGGTGAGGCGATCAGGGTTAAGTGACTTGCCCAGGGTCACACAACTAGTAAGTGTCAAGGGTCGAGGCTAGATCTGAACTCAGGTCCTCCTGATTCCAAGGCTAGAGCTCTATCCACTGCGCCACCTAGCTGTCCCAAGAATCATGTTTTTAAATGTGTAAAATAAAACACACAGAATCATGAAGGAAATGAAAGGCTAATGAGAACAAAGATGCACATACCCCATGAAATCTATCCAGCTAAGAACCCCTGGATGAGATGATGCGTCTCTCAAGTCCCTTCTGCCTCAAAATGATAGCAACAACTGTCATTTTATGGAGGCTCACAAACTGCTCTGTACACATTGTCTCATTGGAGTCTCCTGACAACCCTGAGAGGATGGTGATACCTTCGAATGACTGTCTCCTCTTTAAAGGGAAGTGATTTAGAGCTCAGGTAAGCAACTTGCCCGTAGTCACACAGTTAACAAGGGCCAGGAGCTAGATTTGAATCCAAGTCTTCTGAACTCCAAGTCCAATGTTCCACTCACTGAACTATTCTACTTCACTGAATCCTAGCATCCTATGATATTAAAGGCATAGAGAAGTGATCCTTAAGAAAGCTATGCAAACTATTGGTAGAGTTGTGAACTGATCCAGATATTCTGGAGAGCAATTTAGAACTATGCCCAAAGGGCTATAAAACTGTGCTACCTTTCGATCCAGCAATACTGCTGCTAGCTCTGTATCCCAAAGCTATCCCCCCCCAAAAGGGAAAAGGACCTATTTATACTAAAATTTTTATAGCTGCTCTTTTGGTGGTATCAGAGAAATGGAAATCCAGAGGATACCCATCAATTGTAGAATGGCTAACCAAGCTGTGGAATATGGTTGTGATGGAAAAGTATTGTGCTATAAGAAATTTCAAGCAGGATGACTTCAGAAAAACCTGAAAAGACTTTACATGAACTGATGCAGAGTGAAATGAGCAGAACCAGGAGAATGTTGTACAAAGTAACAGAAATATTGTATGATGAAGAACTGTGAATGACTTAGCTCTTCTCAGCAATACAATGATCCAAGACAATCCCAAAGGACTCATGATGAAGCATACTATCCACCTCCAGAGAAAGAACTGATACTCTGAATACAGACTAAAGTATGATATTTTTCTCATTTCTTCTTTCTTTCAAGTCTTCTTGTACAAAATAACTAACATGGGAATGTTTTACATGACTGCTTACCATCTCAGGGAGGGGAGAGGACAAGGAGGGAGGGAGGGATAGAATTTGGAATTCAAAAAAAAGTTTTTAGAATTGTTTTAATATGGGGAAAATAAAAGATTATATAAAAAGAAAGCTATGCAAGGATATCCTACCCTCTATTGGGATGTCATTGAGGAACTGTTACTATCCCAGTCACGGAAAGGCACTCTCAGGCACACTGACCCCTGACTTTATAATCTCAGGTTTCATGCTGTATCCTAAAGGCCGGTATGTAGGAAAAGCCACAGTAAGTGGAAAAAAGGAGTGTCTCTAAGAAATTTTGACTTTCACATAGTCGAGATGATCATTCAAATGGAAATTATTCACTATACACTGGGTTTACTCTCATTTAATGTTCTATCCAGTTCTAGACACTTAGTAGCTGTGTGACCTAGGGCAAGTCACTTAACCCAGTGAGCCTCAGTTTCTTCATCTATAAAATGAGCTAGAGAAGGAAATGGCAAACCACTCCAGTATCATTGCCAAGAAAACCCCAAACAGGGCCATAAAGAGTGAGACAAGACTGAAAACAACCAAACAACAACAACCAGTTCCTGAAATCATGACTTTTGTTTAGGATGCCCTCATTTGATAGGTCAGATTTAGAATTTTTTTACCCGAAACATACAACTTACGCATGCTGTTACACTAAGTGAAATTGGCAATACATTGTTTAATACATAATCCCTGTCCTTAAGATTCTTAAATGCTCCATCCTTTGTTTGTAATGATGCTATTAATGATCCACTTACATAAGGCAGGTACTTCGGACTATTCTTTCAGCAGGAAGGACAAATTGCACTGAACCATTCACACTCCATTCCTCCGCTCTCCTTTCAACCAACAGCCCACATTCACAATACAAGTAAAAGGGAGTACACATCTACAGTAAAAGAACAGGTTTTTAGTCAATATCTTTATATTTTGCTGGACAGTCTTTACCTTGCAGGGTCAGTATGGAGTGTGATAAGCTATTTGAGTGTTTTATGTATCCTTTTTTTTCTAGCCTAACTTCCAACTGAAGGAGAAGTTTTGAATGCCACTGGGCTCCTTTTTTTTGTGGCAAAGTGCCTGGTGCTGATTCTATTCCAGCTGAGATTTGCAAAGCATGGGATCTGCTTCCCATACAAAAGCTGACTGAAATTTTCTGGGTTACGTGGCAAGAGGAGGTTATCCCCCAGGAGTTCAAGGATGTCTCCTTTGTCCATCTCTATAAAGGAAAAAGGAAATAGATTGTCCTCTGATAATCATGGGGGCGTGTCTTTTTCTTAGTCATTGCTAGCAAGATTCTCGCCTTAACAGATGATCCTTCACCTGGAAGACGGTCATCTATCTACCTGAGAGCTAAGAGCCA